CTCGTAGGCTTCAAGAGATTTATAAAAAGGAAATATTTTAAAAGTGGAAAGTTTTACCTTTTTGGGCAATTTTCACGCATCTTTGACCAAACTGGCAGAAATTTTCAAAAATTATGGTTCCTATGAGCTTTTTAACCTAAAAACCGTTTAAAATGCTATAAAATGTTTTTTATTTTTTTTGCGTAGGGCGGTACGGGTTTATTGGGAAAAATCAATTTTTTTCCTCCGTCGAACCCGCCCCCCCTCGCTAACAGTCCAGTTCCGACTTTTTTGCTATTTCTGGCCTGGAAAGCGACATGGAAAATCTTATTTTTTTCCAGATGGGAACCGGCGTCGGGTTCTGTCGCAGCCACATCACCAACGACATCAAGGAGGAGTGGGAGCTGTGGAAGTCGGCGCGGGCGATGCTCAATGGCAGCCAGCCCGTCCCGTCGCCCAGCTTTCATTCAGCGGTAAGGTTTTTGGAGGTGATATTATAGCTTTTTTTGTAGAACCTAACTCGCCCAATTTCTCCCCTGACGGCGCTGGTGGATGCGGCTGCACCGGTAAAATTTGTTTTTCATCTTTTTAAGGCAGATTTTAGAAGCGCGGGCGACCGGTGGGCGGCCAGAAGCGTGACCTCAGCGACGTGCTGAACGCCGTCTTGCAAGATATCGACCCGGACCAGGAGGATGATGACTTCCCGGAAGAGCAAGAAGTGGCAAAGATTAAAAATTTTGGAAAATCAATTTTTAGACTAAATTTAAAAAAGCGAATTTAAACAATAGCAGAATCAACTTTTCTATTGTCCAGTAATAAAATGTTTACTGTTGTTATAGTCTTGTACGCCGTTTTAAGTGATGCTGGTCTGTTAGCGGGGGTGGAAAAATTTCTAAAATCGTCATAAAACGTGAATTTTTGCTCTTTTGGAAAAATGAAAATGGTTGCAAGTGAGCTGGAATCATCGATTTAATTTTTGAAGTCTAAAGTTTTTAAAATCGTCCAATTCGCAAATTTAGACCTCGCCTACCGATCAGCAAGGGAGGAAGCTCGGCTATACAATTGCGGTCAGTTTTTGTGTTCTGGTTTTGTTAGTTTTTTAAGCCGACCCTGTTTGGGGTTACCCCTTAATTTTTGCATTTTTTCAGAAGCCCGACGCCCCAACGATCATCAAGGTGACGCCGTCGCGCGTTCTGACGAGCTCTTCGGAGCACAGCCCTGCCGAACCCTCCACGTCTTCTCCAGCTCAGCCCAAAACGCCGGTAACCAGGCGGATTGTGGTTAGTTTTTGACTGGATATTTTTAATTCATCGAAATTTGCTTAATTTTTAACTTTGTAGGCCAAAATTTTCCTTTGTAGTACCGCAGCGCGGGCGGCGAGCTGAAGCAGATACCATCCGCACCTCGGCCATCGGATGCTGGCCAGCAGAGCGCCGACAAGAAGCCGATGGTGATGAAGCCGGGCGGGGCAGCTGGTGGCACGCCTTTGGTATTATTTTATAGCTTTTTTTATAACTATCTGATTTTTAGAGTCGCCCGATTCGGCCGGTGATCACCAACGTCAGCAAGCCGCTCACACCGGGGGCTTCCGGTCCGATTACTGGACGATTTATGGTATATCTTTAGGCGTTTAAAAACGGCTTAGAGTTTTCGCTTTTCGGAAAATTTATGGAACTTTCAAAAACTTAAAATGTGTGATTTTAGGTGCCAAAATACATCGGCGGAAGGGTGGTGAACACGCTGGCCTCTCCGGTTTTAACCTCCCTCCCCTCGCTCGCCTCATTGCCGTCAACTTCCAAGTTTCCACCCTGGCATCCGGTAATATCTCTATCTTTTGCTCTGTAAACTTGCTGATTTAGGCGCCATTCCGCCCTCCACAGAAGCTTGTCTACCCCAGCTTCGTCCCGCAGCGGCAGGACACCGACGAGGACGAGGCGTGCGAGGCGCTCACCGTGTCGACTGGATATCGCTGGAGAAATGTAGGAGAATAGGGTCTTTTCGTTTATCTCTCTTTCTCTCTTTCTCTCTCTCACTTGCTCTCGCTCTCTCATGTCGATATTTTAGGCTCACACGTGCGTCGTTTGCGGCCATCGCAATCTGATGGACCCGCGACAGAGTGACTGGGAGCGGGAGGTGAACTTCAAGCCGAAGAAGACGGTGCTCTCCTTTGAAGAGGCCGAGCTGGCCGATCGGATGATACCCGGCGCGAAGGGCATCTTCACCAGGATAAAGCAGGTGAGAAAAATTGATTTTTCGAATTAACTAAAGTTTTAGATGGGAAAGCTGCCGATCTTCTGTCATCACCACGTCGACATGACGAATTGGGTCAGTGTTTTTTATTTGAATTTTAGAATTTCGGCAAAATTCTTAGGGCCCCTGGTTCTTTGGCATTATTAGGGGGTATTTTCAGCTTTCAGGGTTTACCCATTTTTTCGATAGCTTCAGATAGGCGGTGTAAGCTATTTAAAAGTATTTTAATAGTGTTTTTTGTAAGTTTTGACTTGATTGAAGTGGAAAAACCGTCTAGAAAGCTTAGCCGTTTTTCTTGGAAGTTTTTAGAAGTTTTGATCAAATAACTAGATATTTGTATTTTTTAGTAAAAAATGTGTAATGATTTTTATGTTAAAAACCCGCAGAAACTGAGCATCTATTTATATTGGAAAGGTTGAAGCCTATGGAGAACCCTTCCCCCCCCCGATAACGGAAAAGCACGGAAAATTGCCATATTTTACGCGCTAAAATAAAATTACTTGCCTGGTAATCAATGTATACTTTTCTTTTTTTCCAGCGCGTCGCCCTGGCGTCGATCCGCTTCGAGCAGGACAGGGCGGTCCCTGTGCCGCAGCCGAAGCCCATCGTGAAGCTCATCCCAAAGCCCATCCCGAAGCCGGTGATTCAGCGCCCTCCACTCCCCAAGCCTGTCTTCGAGGGGCCAAAGCCGCGCCGCGGCAGACCGCCGAAGAAGAAGCCCGAGCAGGTCGGTTTTTAGCGTTTGGCCTCGAGATTCCCCAAATCTTATACAAAATGTCGCAATTTCGTCATTTTGAGGTTCTGGTTCGTTAGCGGGGGGATAACCCTCAAAATGGGCTTGGTAGACCGATTTTGGAACTTTTTCGACATGCTTTTGACGCTATCATATAGAGCATCAAAAAAATATACGAAGAGTTTTAATTACAGCTCAAAATAATGTTTTCTAAAATAAGAAAAGCAATGGACAAAAAAAATGTTTCCACCCCGGTAACGAACCAGAGCCTATTTTGATTGTGAAAAAGTTTTTAAAAACACCGCCCGATTGGCTCAGGCTTCTTCCGGATTTTTGATATCCTAATTTATTCCATTTTTTTAGTACGACTACACCGAGTTGCTGAAGAACATTGCCGACATCAAGGCCGAGCCGGCAGACGATGAATGACTACTAACTGATTGATTGATTGTTGATCTCCACATTTCTCATCTACCTCCTCCTCCTCCTCTCATTATGCTATGTTATGTTATGCCCCCAATCCCTGATGCCGATTTGTTGAAAATGTTGTTGTCTTTTAACCGGATTCTACGTGAATGCCCCGTGTGTCTGCCTTCTCATGGATACTTTTCCATTGACAAGCCCTCTTCTCTTACAATACATTTAGTCACCCGTTGGCGAGTAAAGTTGCGCAATTTACACGCTGTTTTTTTTTTGGAAATTGCAGACAACAGGCAGAGGTCTTTGCGGAAATGTGATAGAGCCACGGGTCTCTGACCTGACAGAGATATTTAGAGCGTCGAGAAGCCGTTCAGATTTGCTCCACTTTAGCCGCTGATCTGGAATTAGTTTCGGAATCGGGAGGAAAACTTGCAGGGGACTTGCAACTTTGAGGAACAGATTCCGATGATTATGAAGAATTCATACTCTTGTTTCGAGCACGGAAGTGTTGCTTTAGAGCTTACGTAATCAGTTACTGCAAAGATCGTTAAAAATGGCGGGCAAACTTGCAGAGATCCTTGGGGGAACCGAATTAGATTCGTATGATGAATTAACGCTGGTACACTCTGTCGTTTACCTTAAATCCACTTCCTCGTGCATCTCTAACCCTAAAAAATGGGCTTATTTTGCTGTGGCCCGGGTAGCTTTAGCCTTTAGGGCTTTTTTTGAGTGGTGACAAATAATCCTCGGGTAGGTAACGAGGACTGACTGGTTGGAAGGAAGGATGGATAGAGTGGTGTTCACCCAAAGACACACGCGGATGTCACAGGGTTATCAGGCGATAGAAAGCGATAGAGAGACATAGAGAGAGACAGAGAGAGGGAGAGAAAGTGAGAGATACAGACCTTTTCCCAGACCCTAAAAAGCTTCACCCTTTCCCCAGCCGACTGACTGCAAGCAGCCCCGGCTGACAACGGTCAGGCGGGTCGACTGGAATGGACGAGGCGACAGTGTAATGTTGGGCCCCTCTTGCGCTAGGGCCTCTCTCTCTCTCTCTCTCTCTCTCTCTCTCTCTCGCTCGCTCGCTCGCTTTCTTTGTCCCAACTCGAGGCAAAAGCACTCCACACTCTCATTTCAGCATCCAGGTTCGCCTCGGGTTTTTTTGTGTGTGCGGTTCGAGACGTGAACCCGTCAGACTTCCTCGAGTCGTCTGGCCGGATCGTTTCGATTTTTGTGGATTTAGTTTTCAAATTAAAGCATTGAGCTTTTTCTGAGCTTTTCAAGTCTGAAAAATGTCTTTAGGTAAAGATGAAATACGATTCAAAACTTAGTTTTACCATAATTTTTCAGGAATTTCTTCCGTTATTCAAATTTTTTTCTATATTTAGGACCTATATAACTTAATTGTCGATCGTTTCGGGAATAATTTCAGGTTGTTTCCCCCTAAAGGCCCATCTGCTCTCAATTTGAGTGTTTTCGGCCCCGTTCGCGAGCTCTTACTTCAACAGTTCCCCCGGCTTTCAGATAGTTAGCCCCTTTTCCCTGGCGACGACGACGACTATACTAAACTACCCTATTTACTACGGAAAATGAAGTGATGTTACATTAGAGCGTCAAGATGGTGAAAAGTTTATTCGAATACGCGCTGGCTGGTGAGTAATATTTGAAACTTGTCTTAAAACCTTGAAAAACGCCTTAAATTTCCTGAAACCTCCAGAAGAACGGTCGTAAACGCTATAAAAGTCCATTAAATATGCACAGGAAGGTACCTTAATCACTTGAAAAGCTTATGATCAAGAAAACAAGGGTTTACCGCAATTTTATGCGTTAAAAACCGGCTTTAAAAGGTTTTGATAACTTGTCGAACAGCCTAAATTTTAGTGCGCGATTTGGATGTTTTAATAAAAGTTTTATGGGTTAATAAGTGATAATAAAGCGAAAATATAAGCCCGAAAAGCTTAGCAAGTTCTAGAAATACTTTTAGTGGTGTGCCGCGAGCGCATCGACCTGGACCTCGGCTACATCCCCACGAATTGCAAGGAGCGCGTTTTGGCATTTTTGTCGAGCCATGATCGGGTAAATTTTAGATGGATTTTAGTACTTTTTAACTTTACAAATCAGCGATCGAAGGTAAGCTTATTTTTCAGCTTTCCCTCAACAACAACGCTGATCTGGTGAAGTTTCCGATATTCGGCATGAATCTGACGACCATTCATTTCTATTTGTCGGAAGAGGTAAGGTAACGTAAAATGAACACTTTTAACCATTTTCCTGCTCTTAAATTGCATAAATTTTACCTTGAAAACTTTAATAAGATGAAAATGGCTGTTTTTAAAAAGTTTTATCGCTTTTTCCAGGCCATATGCTATAAAAACCCTGTGAAAAAATCGTTATAACTTTTATTTCAGCTAAACGACCAAATGCTCCATCACCTGACGGAATACAACAAATTCCTGGAGCGAATTACGTTAATTGACTGCAAAAATATCAGTGACCATGGGCTGCAGACCGTCACGAAAAGCCAATTTAACCTGAGGCTCCTCGAGTTGAGGGCAATGTCGCAGGTGAGGTTAACAATCGTTAAAAACGAAATGTCTAGATAACCGACGCGGGGTTGATTTATATACGGACACCGCATCTTCAAACGGTCGATTTGAGCGGTTGCAAACAGGTTGGTTTAAAAGACTAGTTTTTAGCTTTTGAAAAGTTTACAAGCTTCTTAAACGATATAATAAAGTTAAACAGCCATTAAATCTCACCGATTAGGTTAGCCGCCATAACTACATATTTGAAGCTTTATAACCATAAATAACGCGTGTCGCCTTTAGACGATTTTAAGCACTTTTACACGCGTAAAACTTGGATCGGTTTGGGTATCCGCTTTAAACATCGATATTATACCTTTAGAGAAACATTAAATCTTTTCAGATAACTTCCGAAGGCCTTCGCGAGCTATTATCATGGAACCGAAACATCGAAGGCCTGTATCTGAATACTTGCACGGGTCTCGACGAGTCATCCTTCTACCATATCGCGTATTACTTGGGAGAGAATTTGTCGGTGAGTCCACTTTTAGGGAAACAAGATAGTTGAAAAAGCACCTTTTTGGCAAAAAAATCAGAATGGCGTTTGAGCAGCAGCTTGCCATTGCTCAAGCATGGTTGATTTAAGGTTGCTCAAAAGTCGTTGATGAACTTTCACCGGAAGCAATTTTTAGAAAAATTAAAAACCATTCGATTTAGGTGCTCGAGCTCGACTTCCTCGACCGGATCCCCGATTCCCCCGGCGTCTTGGCCCACCTCAGCCAGAGTTGCCAGAACTTGCGCCAATTGTCGTTGGCCCGGTTTTTCCAGGTTGGTTTTTTGCAGAATTTGCGTGTTTGATAGCTCCTGTTTTAAAGTTGTGGGCTCTGAACCCAAGCGGATTTGGCCAATAATCATAGGGGAAAAGCCTGCCAGCATTTTTCAGTGCTTTAGCGTAAGGGAAAAGCCTGCAGACGTTTGCCTGTGCTTTCCGCAGACTGTGCTTTAGCGTGCAGTTGTCCTTGTGGTTTTCCGGTCTCTTTTCTGTGTCTTTCAATCTGCTGACCGTGTCATTCGACCAGCTAGAGCACCTAGAGCCTCGTCAACAACCTCGTATTTTCACCAAAGGGCGTTCGCGGGTAAACGGCCCTAGTAGCCACATGGCTACCCTGCCAAATGTTTACCCAAGAGAAAAACGCAGAAAGCTCGTAAATAGGGATCCAAATAAAATTACTACGATTGAGAAATTAAGAGCTTTTTTGAAGAAGCATACTTACTTAAAAAAACTTTTTCAGGATGAAGAAATGCTAGAAGTAAACCCCTATCGTATCGACGGTGCTTGCCTTACAAATGTGGATTTATACGGTTCGTTTTTTAGTATATGCTATGCTAAATAAGGACTGAAATAAACCTTCGATTTTAGGGAATTTCTTTGTAACTCTACCCTCTCTGCCCCCAACCCTTCAACACATCCGGTTATGCGTTTCCGGGGAAGAGGATGTGGCCAGATTGGTTTGTTAATTGTAGTATAGCTTTTAATGCAAAAATTGGCTATGAAATCGAAAAATAATCTATGAAAAACTGATTAAACGCCTTTTAGTTGGAAAGTTTCGAAAATCTGCTCTTCCTCGAGAGCATCGATCTCATCGTCACGTGTCGCGAGGATAGTATTGTGGGTTTTTCACATTTTTGAGGCTTTTAGAAAGCTTTAAAAAGCTTTAAAATATTGATGTAGCAATCGGAAAATTTTTAACGTATAACTTAATAAGTTTACGACCTTTTCCAGCAAGCAATTGACTCGGCTAATAATCTCCTCTGCACTCTACTACCATTTATTGGCCCAAAAATCAACTTATTACAGGTTCGAGCTACGATTTTTCCTGTAAACGGCAAAAATTCAGATCTCCGTAGTGCGCCTTTTCGATCCGGTGCTACGGTTTATCCGGGAGTACTGCTTGAACTTGTCCCACTTGGCCCTCGACGTGAAGGGGATGAGCAACCTGCTCTTTCAGAAGCTGTTTAGCCGTGGGTTTTGCGGGCTTTTAAGTTCTTTTTAATTAAAATAGGAAAACTAGTAATTTCCTACAAATTTGCCATAAAAATTGTATATATTTTTGACGGTTTAGGAGGTCCTGGTGCGAATCTAAAAACCCTGAAGATGTCGAAAATGCGACTTTCTTACCGGATGCTTTTTACGATCGCCAGATCGGCAAGGCAGATAACGGTAAGTTTTTGAGGGTATTTTGAGAAAGATTTTCTGATTTTTAGGAGTTGGAAAGCTCTTACATGACGTGTGTTGATGATCGATTCCTCTCGCTACTATCCGCAAATTGTGCTCATCTTCAGAACGTCAATTTCAATGGCTGTCGCTATGTTTCCGACAAGGGGCTGACGAAAATGGCGAGGTTTGTGATATTTGGTTTGTTAATTATGGTTAAACTTTAAACGAGTTAATATACCTAAATTATTTTATGAAATTATCTGATTTCTTGCGTGGACCATCGGGTAGCTTTTATACCTTTTGGCAATTCTTCTGTGTCCATTGAAAATCGAGAATAATTCTTTCCCTAAATTATCCGATTTTTCGTGTGGCTAATTGAGTCCTTTTGACGTCATTTTGACGGTTCTGATGGTAAGGACGTAAAATAATCAACTTCGAAAAACAAACAAATCTGACAGTTTTGAGTGCCTTTTTCAGGATGTGCCCGTTGAAAGAAGTGCGGATACGGGGGACCGGATGTACCGATCGTTCCTTACAGGTTGGTAGAGCCAGGAAAACGCAATATCTTCTTGATTTTTGCATTAACAAAGAGGTACACGTGCCTTTTATGATTAGAATTTAATGAGTCAATTCTCTTATACTAAAGTAAAATGCTAAAAAAAAACTAAAAACACCGATTTTTCTGGTAGTTTAGCTACAAAAAACAGGCCGTAAAGAATGAATCTTGTTATTAACGGTCCTAGCGAAAATTAGGCTGTATATTTCTGATTTAAATTTCCCTTTAAGGTCAAAGAACACGCCTTTAGGTGCTTTCGGAATGGTGCCCACAATTGGAGTGGATCTCTTATGCCGACTACACGGGTCGCCCACGCTTCACCGAGGAGGCCATCAACAAGCTCAAAGCCGCCTGTATCAACAAACTCATCTGCTAGAGGGTTTTTGAAGGAATGAGCGAACATCTGTGATCACATTAAATGCACAAACACTATGCTTTTGCTCTTGCTTTTGTATAAATGGCTTTGAGAATTATTTAGGGTTGGCACAACGACTCACGGTTTCATCTTCATTTTGAAAAAACCTTTTTGTTTTGCTTCGAAAATATCCTACGTTCCATATTTCGCGAAGCGGCCTGCGTTAACAAAAAACCCTCTCAAATCAACATATTCCGCCAGGTAAGATATTCTTATAGAAATTCTGCCATATTCCGAAGGGTTTTGCTGCCGACATTTTTAACGGAAAGCCTCGCGTTAATCGCTATATTACAGGGTGCGGAAAAAGTTTTCGGTGGCGCGCGGTTTTACCAAGCAAAAATTGTAATCCTGGTAAAAGCAGCTCGGTGTTTCGTTGTGCTATGATAGATTCGGATGTGATCTACCTGGTTTCGAAGGCAATATAGGTTTAAAAATTAAATTCCATCAGATAATCGACTTGGAAACACGAACACATACGCGGATTTTCAAAACGCGCACGTTTGGCTGATGTAAAGCAGGGGCTTTAACCTTCCGGATCTCATCGCCAAGCTTGCTACACTTTCAGATTATGAAGGACAGCTCCCAAGCTTTATCCTACATCAATCTGATATCTTTTTGGACCAGTGTTTCTAAACCTTAATCTGCTTCAAACAGAAAATCAGCAGCGTGCCGCGGTTTCCGATAATTTAGCGTCTCATGCAGCTCAACCTGGAATCACCCTGTCCACCACTGTCCCACCCCTTTAGACTATAACAAGCCTAACATACAAGATTTAGTTTGACAACCTATCATTAATGTGGTGGAATTCGTTTTATGGGCGAGACGCCCCTACCATGGTATCAATTTTCCGTGCCGCGAGGGAAATTCGTCAAAATTGGAAACGCCAGAACTCTCTGGATTTGAATCTCCGGAGCTTGTGATTTTATGGGGTGGTAGAGCATAGGTTTGGCAATATCTGTGTTCTTGGTCTTTGGTCAGGGATGGATGACAAGGGATACGGTAACGTCCGCAAAAAGCTGCGTGCCGCTTGCGTTTTGGACATGACCGTTCTAGTCAGTATAATCAGATATTGTAAATTTTTGTTGGCCCGCTTTTGCTGAAGGACTCTCCAGGCTGTAGTTTTTAACCTACCAGTCAAAAAATCTGGGTAGGAAAGCTAGATGAGTGAAAAAGTTAGCTATTTCTGCCACCGAAAACTTTCTCCGCACCCTGTACGCGGCCCTCTGCGTCAAAATTTTCGCACACGAATCTTTTGTTTCCTCCGACAAAATACCATTTGCCGCGTTTTGATATTTCTAGAGTAATGCCTTATTCTAAATACCGCTACGGTGTAAAATGTATCCTTTTGGCTTTAGTATCGATTTATTGGTGGGAAATTTACAGAAAAAGGTTTGGCGTTTGGCATAATTAATCGCAGAAGAAACAACAAGTCAACAAAAGGTTCGGAAAGGGGCATAAAGTTTAGACAATATCAGATTGAGTCTCTTAAAAGAACAGGAAGTCATAGCATTCATTGTAATCGGATCGGAATTGGGACGGCTTGGAGACAGCGACGAGGGTTTTTTGAGAGTAATGGCGCGGAAATTGTGATTGGATGATAGTAGGGGCTAATGGGCAAGATCCAGAATACCATCCAGCATGTGCTTTTGAAACGGCGAAGCATTGACGGTGATTTTCAGAGATGTTTGTCTGTTTGTTCAGTCTGTTATCCACTTCAACCATCGAAGCATCCAGATCGCCGTACGTTTCATAGCCCCTGAAAATGATTATGGTTTAAGAGATTGATGCAGGGCCATAATTCTGGGTTGTTAAAAAAAGGCTGACTCACAGTAGGACATCCTTGATAATTCGCTGAGGCTTTCCTCGTGGATTCGTCAGCTCCGACCGATTGCCTTGCAGCGCATGGTAATTTACTAAATATTGGGATAGAACAATTCACGTCATTCATTCATTTAAAAAGAAGAGGAAAATTCACGGTCGCCAAATAAAACAGGGTCCACTACCGCCCCGCACCTACCCATATATATATCGTTATTGAAATCATGGGTATAGGTTCGACGGCTGATCAGGAATTGGAGACCATCTTCGCCATGGCGAGAGGAACAATTGGAATATTTGCTGTAGACGGATAGCGGTTGATTTGTGGAGACGATAGTAGCTTGGATGGCCCAGCTGAAATTGGGTGTCTTACTATGGGTCCCTCTCACTCTCTCCCTCTCTCTCTATCTATCTGTCTTTCTCACACACGCACAAACACTTACTGCGTTGTCATCGACGATATTTTTCGGGCGGCGTTTAGTACGGCCTTCTTCATAATTGCCGTCTGATCCGCGGCTCCCGACATCCTCGCAGCCAAATACTCGGCACGAAAAGCTTCTTGATGCACCACCGGCCAGGCGTTCTGAAAGGAAGAAAAGCTCTCCTGGACCTCATTCAAGGGAAATTCCCAGTGTCGTCCAGACGTCGGGAAGGGACCAGTATATAATAATCGAATCCGAGTTAACCCTCTCCCCATTGAACAACTACTGAAAATGGAAAGACAAACCTCGAATGTATGAGCCATGTTCCGCTGAAGAAGCATCATGGTTATCATTTGTAGCTCATACACTGGGGTCATTAAGGCCTCCGGATCTTTGCCTGTGTGATTATGATAGAGGTGAGTGACCGCAGACTGAAATTTATGAATGGCGCCAACATTTCCATGCTTCTTACCAACAGCCCCACATCGGGTCCCATTTTTTGGAGATGCGGCCAGATGTCCATAGCGGCGAAGTTGTTGTCAAAAATAAGTTGCCTCCAGAAGCAGCTAAAATTTTGATTAGGTGGGCAGAATATCAGAGCCTTACCGATGAACTGCTGTAGCATTTATCGGACCGTGGAAGTTCTCATCCTCCATTTTGTCGAATAACGCCTCAAAAGAAGCCTCAGCGGAACCCATGTCGAGTTCAGGGATGTTCAACGACTTCACGTCGAACAACTCCGGGTTTGGCATCACGTCGTAGATGTCGCGAAACTCTAAAAAGTATGATAATAATTAAATGAATTGCTGGATTTATAGTCCTTAAAGGGGTTCGGAAATCGGGTCCACGTCCCTCAGCGTTGATTCCTGGCAAACAGCCAGATGCACCCGTGCCCCTGTTTGGATGTGAAAACGCTTGAATCTCCAAACTATGACGTTATTTCTGCAATCCTCACCGAATTTTGAGCATCATAGACTATTAATTATGAGTAGTGACGAGAGAATCACCTAATTCGGGAGATTGAGTGCCTTCCAAGCATTACGACATGTGATCGCCGCACTCAAAAAGGCGTTTTCGCCCCCGAGAACATTTCGGTTTTACTCAGATATTTTAAGCATTTTTTTGCAATGAAATAACTTTTCTGGTACATCTCGGCGGTGACCCTTTAGTTTTTGATCAGTGGGTTCAATCCCCGCGCCCACGAATTTCGACTTCCGAGACTTCGACCCAATCCAGCATTATCCTACCTTGAAAAAAGGCGTCGACTTCGCCGTAGGGAAATGGCTTTCCAGTAGAGTTGCGTCGATCCCATGCCAGAAAGGCATCCAGCACGAATGCTTTATGTTCCGCCCAGATCTTCGCTTCATCCTTGGTGATAGGGTCACGGCATCGATCCACGAACAGCTCTTCGTATGCCTATCAAAAATTCATTTTAAGGGGGCTATAAGCGCCAAAAATGCAACCCTGGAATTTTTTAATATCCTGTTTTTGCAAACAAATGAAGCAAAAACGATGTTGCGCAAAAATCAGACATCCACTCACCTCCAGGATGTCGGGAATCAGTCTGAAAAAATGGTGTTTAATTGGGAATTCTGGTTAAAATCCTTTGAGCTAAAAAACTTACTTGATGCCTTTTTCATAAAGACGTTCATCTCCTCCACTGAGATTCACGGCATGTGGCCAGTCGTCCAGCCCAAAGATCCGCTTTAGATCGTTGACCCGAGCGTTCACTTTCTAAACATTTACTAGTTGCAGTAAACATTTGATGGTAGCTTAATTGTATCTGCTTACGTCGTAATCAGCAGATAAGACTTGTCGCAGATCATGGTCGCGCGGCCTGGAAATTGAGCCGGCGTCTGCGGCGAGTTGGAGCAGGCATATCGACCAAGTCAGAAGCGCTGGTATTCCGGAAGGATACCGCATCCTGAAATATTTTGGGTTGAAGGGAGGGGGAGAGAGAGAGAGGGAGAGAGAGTGCAAGAGAGGGTGAGAGAAACGGCGTTTTGCTCCGGGCTAGAAAGAAAGATATACTTTATTCAGCTAATATTACAGGATATGAGGCTAAAGCCAAATAAAAACAAGATGGTAGGAGGAGATGGATACTGAGTGTTGCTAGCTCTTCTGGCCATGATGACCTACATGCACCTGCTGCAGATGCAGCGGGATACCGAATGATTGTCAGTTTTTGAATACCTCGCAACATCAAGCATACTACCTCAAATCCGCAAAGCCACTGTATGCATTAAAGGGATAACGACGGCATGGGTAATCGGTGACGTGAGAGAAAGCAAATGTCTCTGTGTCTCGCCTCTGGGCGCGTTCTCTGCCCTGATGGCTACGTGCCAAAAAGTCGATCGCGGTCATCGAGCTATGCCGTCGGTATCCCTTTAATGTAACCCTCCAAAAAGGTCGATGCTACAAAAAACCCTCTCGCGAAGCAAAACCTTTGGCGTCAGGCCCGTAAGAGGGGGGGTGATGGGGGCGAGCCGCCCCCCGAAATCGGCCGAAGGCCGAAAAGTTCATAAGGGGGGACCCCTATGATTTAATTTTTCCAAAAAATTTTTTGCCTGCGGCGCTGTTTTTGGCTATTTTTAACACTAATTTTAGTGTTATAAACCCTATGTTTTCAAAAATTTTGCCTGCGGCGCTGTAGTTTTTGTCATATTAGTGGAACATTTTTGGGGTCGCCCCCGAAATTTGGGTTTGTTACGGCCCTGTTTGGCGTGCGTGGCGCGAAAAACGGCACAAAAATTTCTAAATGACGCACGAAACAACGACAAAATGGGCCGTCCCGGGGTTTGACACATACTTTACGTCGAAAGGGCCTACTTTGAGCGGTTCTGCACCGTGTTTTTTTCACAAGCGGATACCACGTCGTGATCAGCTTTTCCTGCCAAAACGCGAACCAATTTTTCTTATTTTCGTGTCTTATAGTTGTGCCAAATGTATTTCACGGATTTCACAAAGACCCAATTATTTATTCAACGCAATAAGCTATAAAAAGGGTGTCGAGAGTTTTGGATAGAAGTTTAGAAGGTTACGAAGGCGGAATTCACGGAGATAATAAAATGGCGAGGGCAGAAACAAGAGAGATCTGATCGCAAATTAAAAGAATACAAGGCCATAGCATTCATTGTACTCGGGCCGGAATTCGGATGGTTTGTAGCGAGCAACGCGAACTTTCCTATAGTGGCGCTGCCCAAATTGTGATTGGATAATAGTAGGGGCCAATGGGCAAGATCCAGAATACCATCCAGCATGTGCTTTTGAGACGGCGAAGCATTGGTGATGGTTTTCGGAGATGTTCGTTTGTTTATTCAGTCTTTTATGAAGTTCCTCCATTGAGGCTTCCATATCACCGCTCGTTTCATAGCCTCTGAAAATAATTTTTGTTCTATAAATTTTGATAAGTTTGGAGCGTTCCGGATCAGGTTCTCAAAACATTGCTGTCCTAACAATGAAATGGTCTTAGCTCGTCATTCGTATTTTGATTTCAGATTCTGTATATTATTAGATCTTGACGGGACTCTGATGTATCTTCAGCTGCTGTTACCGTAATCCCACCGGTTCCGGGGCGACGGTACCAGCATTAGGCACTGGCATGACCAATAATTTGTCTAGTCGAGCTCTCTGGGTATGCAAAATCTCAAGTCGGAATTGGATGACGAGCGGACAAGGCGTCTTTCACGTTATTCACACGTTTTTATTGATAATCGAGTTCTTTATGGAAACAACCCTAAATGGTGCAGGACTTTGCGCTGTATCGGCAACCGTTTTCAAAAGCTGTGAAACGACCAGATTCAAGAAGTTATGAAGCTTTTTAGGGCAAAACGGTAGCAATTTGTAAATGGGCTATTTTGGGCATTTTGGCACTTGAAACCTTCATAACTTTTTGCATCCCGTCATTTAGCAGATTTTGAAAACTGATCTTGTCTGATCAGCCCAAAATTCTGCACAGGCTAGGCATGGTGCCGTGCGGAAGCTCAACTGTCACTAAGTACTGTCTTCTTATAGGACCGCTTCCTTATCAGGATAGCTGGGTTATATGAAACTGATCTTTAAAAAGAAGGGGTTTATGAAAAATGGTGTTTATAAAGATGTAAAACTCCTTCCGCCGAACTCGTAAAAACCTGTAAAATATGGCTCACCCGAAAACATCCCGCACGATTTTCTGAGCCTCCCCGTCCGGATGCGTCAACGCCAGACGGTTTCCGCGAATATCATCGATGTCTAAGGGAATTTCACATGGATATAGTTTTGTCTTTAACGCACCAATGGTCGCATTATCGAAAAATTTATATTGCCGTTGACTGATCAGGAACTGGAGGCCATCTTCGCCATGGCGGGCTGAGCATTCTTGTGATTTGTTGTAGACGTATACCGGGTGATTTGAGGCAATGATCGTGGCTTGGAGGAGCTGGCTGAAATCGGAATTTTGTTTCCTTCGCTAAAACACCTACGGCCCTGAGGCACTCATCGATCGAATTTTTGTTGTCGTTTTGCTAACGACATCCTTCAGAATTGCCGACTGATCCGTGTTACCCGAAAGTTTCGCAATCAGGTATTCAGCTCGAAAGATTTCTTGATGTAGAAATGGCCAGGCGTTCTGAAATGGGGTGTAGCAAAATGTTATTGGTGCTTTTCCAGCAGGAAGTCAAACTTAGTTTTCTTAGTTTATTCTGGTGCGTTTTTCGGAGTTTTTCGCCGACCCAGCCCCGGTTCCTCAATGTCATGCATCAAATACCTCAAGATGTTCATCATGATCGAAACTCTATGACCAAATTGTTTTTCTTACTTCAAAAATTGGTGGAAATTGTTTACAGCTTTAAAGGTTGAAAAGACGAAGTCGTTATCTTTTCGTTTGCCCGGCTCTTTCAACTCAAATATTTTACGCTTCCGCAATTTTTTTGACTCAAGCGTATCGTCGTCTTACTCTACAGCTCAAAACCTACATTTTGGTACCCTTTTCAGCTCTATAAGGCCAGGGACGGCCGAGCTACGAAGTCCACTTTGGACCAGTAAAAATCAGCTAAATAAACCCAGACCTATAACTCTTAAAAAAATTCTACCAATTTTTCACGTAGGCAAAACAATTGGCAATGGAGTTTAACCATGACAGACATTTTAAGTTGCTCCGCGCCTTAATAGGACTTATGGCTCACGTGCTGGGATTGATCGAACTAGACCCTAGCCGCAAACTTTTTTCCTAAAATAGCCCGTCCCAAAAAAGGTGCAAAACAAACCGCTAATGATCGATCCGACAAATAGCTCAAATGTTCGAAGATCGCCCACAGGTCTTCAGGAACTTCATCGAACCAGTCTCCCCGCTCGATCCCGGTATGATTCTTATAGATGAATGTGGCGCGCTGCTGGAACTCACGAATGCATTTTGTATCACCACATCGTTCCCCTACCAGCGCGAATTGGTCTATGAGGAGCTTGTTGAGTTCCGGCCAGGTTCCTAATCTGCAGAAATTGCTGTCCAAGATGTGTTGAGTCCAGTAGCACCTAAATATGTGTGTCATACGTGGTCACTAGTTACCCGTTGAACGCTGCTTCATTTAGTGGTCCGTGCTGCGTTTCCATTTGCTCGAATAATCCTTCGAATGAGGCATTAGCGGATCCCTTGTTGAGCTCGGTGATGTTTAACGGCTTCACGTCAAACAGTTCCGGAGTTTGCATGGATTCGTAGATGTCGCGAAACTCTATAACTCTCGGCATTCTGTCGAAAAATTAAGGCCAATCATTGGGCCAACGAAACATGAATTATTACTACAATCAAACATTTGGAATTTAAAGGGGCTAAAAGTCTTGTTGACCCTTGATTCCTGGTAAAACGCCAAGGGCGGCAACACGACCGGCGCGCGGCTTCATCAGCCGTAGTTTGTCGTGAAAACTTGAGAATTTGGGAATTCTGAAGTCAGTTATGGAATTTCTGGCTATCTTGATGATCCGAATTATTGTCTTATCCAATTAGCGACAACAAGATCAAGGAATTGAGTGTTTCCAGGGCATTACGACACGTAATCTCCGCGCTCTTGTCTTATTAGCCCCCTTTAAATTTCGCAGGGGACCAAGTTTAGAAATGTGTGTCTATTTGATCTTACGTCTGAAGAATGCGTCGACCTCTTCGTAGGGAAACGGTTTTCCGGTTAAATTTCCTCGTTCCCATTCCAGGTAAGCATCCAACACAAATGCTCTTTGCGATACCCAAATCTTCGCTTCTTCTTGAGGGATTGGATCTGGGCATCGATTTACATAAAATTCTTGGTGGATCTAAGCAATAATCAGACGCTAAAGCTTCCAAATAACGTCGCTTACCCTCACGATGTCCGGGATGAGGCTGAAAATTCGATTTTAAATACAGGGTTCAAGAGCTTATAATTAGATTGGTCATGGTCAACTTAATTTGGGCAAAGAAACTGACTTGACGCCCTTCTCGTAAAGTCGTTCATCTCCACCGACTTGTACCCAGCCGTAGCCGCTGCCCTGGAGCCCAAAGATTTTCCTCACATCTCTGATTCGTGCCCTTGCCCTCTAAACGTTGACAAGTTACATTTAAAGGGCTAGTTCAACTTTTAGAGCTTGGGCTGATACTGCGGGACACTATGGACGTAGCTATACCGCGCATGAACAGTCCCCCATTACGGCACCTATTAGAGATCGGGGAAATGAGTGAGGCGCAGACACAAAAACGCAGAGAGGATTCGACTCCTGGCCGCGGAAATTCTTTTGTTTTATTGGCTGAACTAACCCTTTATAGGTGTTAATGGGCTCTGTTTGAGCAAGGCAACCCACCTCAACATCCGCCGGTAACTTGTGGCGGAACCCAAACTTGTGCATGGTAATGGCGCTGTGGACTGCCAGCAGGCAAATCCATATTGGAAATGCTGATATTCCGGTGGAATACCGCATTCTGAATTTTTCAGCCTTTTGAAAAATCAGAAAATGGACTCAAATAAGGGATATATACATAGAAAATGAAGCGACTCCGGATAAAAAATATGATAAAAATTTTGAAAATCGGAATATTTCCACATTTTTTGGTCATTTTTCCTACATACAGTTTTTTAACCTGAAAACTATTTAAAATGCAATAAAAATAATTTATATTTTCTTAAAGGGCCGTAGAGGATCACAGGACCTCCCGCTAAAAAGGATAAAGAAAAAAAGAAAAATACAGCACCTCCCAAAACACATCCACCTTTCCGTTCGCAGTCGTGCTCCGCTCGTGTTGGTACAATTATAGGTGCTTTTTTGTAGAGTTATTAGAATTGTTAAACCGTACTCGAGGATTTGATGAGTAAAATATTAAAGGAATGAGCAATCCAAAAATTGTGGAAGCTTTGGAACGATGCTGATTGTCATACGTCCTTTCTAGCTAGGATGACCTGTCAGAGTCTACGGCAGATGTCCGAGTTATCGATTGACCTCGCAAAAATGTTGATCATGATATTTTGAATCGACAGGACCGGCAGGCTCCGAAATTGTCCCGTGCTGCTGGTGATCAATTTCCTTGACCATAAAAATGAATGAAGGCGCTAAATTATTGTTTCTCTATCCCTAGATTCTTACAAAACCATTATTTATCATAAAAAATCATATACAATGGGAAATCGACGAGGTCGAGGCCTAAGAAACGAACGGAGAGCAACAGATAACCATTTAAAAGAACATAAAGTTATAACATTCATTATAATCCGATCGGAATTGGGACGGCTTGGAGACAGCGACGAGGGTTTTTTGAAAGTGTCGTCGAGGAAATTGTGATTGGATGATAGTAGGGGCTAATGGGCAAGATCCAGAATACCATCCAGCATGGGCTTTTGAAACGGCAAAACATTGACGATGGTTTTCTGAGATGTTTGTTTGCTTGTTCAGTCTGTTATCCACTTCAACCATCGATGCATCGAGATCGCCGTACGTTTCATAGCCTCTGAAAATTATGGTTTAAGAAGATGATAAGAAGAGGATGCTAGAAAACGCTGCCGGAAATTCCGAATCCTGTTGCAAAAATTTCAGACTCACAGCAAGACATCCTTGATAATTCGCTGAGGTTTTCCTCGTGGATCCGTCAGCTCCGACCGATTGCCTTGCAGCTCATGGTAATTTGCTAAATAATTGGGATAGAAAAATATGGTGCGTGAAATTCACGGAGCTGCCCCCGTCGCCAGATAAAACAGGGTCCACGACTGCCCCACACCTACCCATATCTGCCCCGTTATTGGCATGGTAATCATATGTATATGTTCGACGGCTGATCAAGAATTCCAGGCCATCTTCGCCATGGCGAGAGGCACAGTTGGAATATTTGCTGTATACCGATACTGGTTGATTTGCGGCGACGATAGTAGCTTGGATGGCCCAGCTGAAATTACATGCCTTGTTATGGGTCTCTCTCTCTCTCTCTCTCTCACAAAACACCTACTGTAGGACCATGGCCGACATTTTTTGGACGGCGCTTTGTACGGCCTTCTTCATAACTGTCGTCTGATCCGTTCCCCCCGACATTCTTGCAGCCAAATACTCGGCACGAAAAGCTTCTTGATGCACCACCGGCCAGGCGTTCTGAAACGGGTTGTATTGATTGAGAAGGGAAATGAAGGAGCCGTTACGTGTATTGTATGATACGTCATTAGCACAACCGCCCATGGGTTCGGTCCAGATGCTCCAAGGCCTGCCTTGGAGCATCTGGACGCGTCTACCGCAATCGTTGCGGTCTTTCCTCGTTTCCAATTCTACTGGACGTTTTATGAGGAGACGGGCCGCTGTGTTAGGTGCGTAATGGGCTGGAGATGGCCGCACGCATCAGAAATGTATTAAAATAGACTATTTTCGGCCGTAGGTTTAAGTTTTGTTGAAAAATCAGAGACCCGCTTTGTTAGGAATATACAGGGTGGCTAGAAAGTATTCGCCGCAGGGAAAGCTCCTTAACAAATTCTCCGTGTCCGACTTCTTTGCCATTTTATAACCAAAATGTAGCAAACCGACCCCTCTTTACGACTATCAAAAAGACTAACACCCTACACCTCAGATTTTTAAGATACGGTCCTTTAGAGGTGTATCCAAACATGGGCCTGCGCCGCACGTATTTTGAATTTATTGTTAATCTTTTCAATTTTTGCTTGCAACCAATCTGAACAGAAAATTGGATTTTTGTTTATTGCAGGGCCCTTTATTGGACGTATCAACCAGAAAAATTCGTTTTAGCCGTATCGAAAAGTTTTTCGCTATTTTCTGGGCGCCTAAAATGAGCGGAACAAGGTGTTTTTGGAGCACAAATACAAAATGTCTTAAACAACCACGTTTTTATGCGGAAAATATTATTTCTTTTGTGAACGCAATAAAACCAAGCGCGTGGATAGGAAAAACTCATTGGATAGCCGTAAGTAAAATTATTGCGGGCACAAAATAATAATAAGTTGCACTTTCTTGCCGTTGGTTTCGAACGAACTTCAAATGCTTGAGGCCGGCGTTTTCAATTATTTTGGTCCTAGTCAAAGTGTTAGCCTGGTAGGCTTATGCATTATCTATATTTTAATAGTAAATTTAGGGCAAGCTTTCGAACTAATGATTTTTAAAATCCATTTTTGTGCGGCAGTTGGTTGCCTGCCACGAATCTCGGCGCACCCCATTAGCAAAATTTTACTTTCACTTCCGTGATCCATCTAAGTCTCGCGGTGCCCCGAACATATTTTTTTAGATAGTTTCGTTAATGGTTTCTACGATACAGCACCGGAAAAGTATAAGGTATCCCCTAAGAAATTTTTCGAGGCTTTCGAAAGTGCCGAAAACCAATACAAAAAAAAAAACGAGATTTTATGTGTTTCAGTCTAATTAAAATTACCAGTGGAAAAAGACCGCTTCGCGGCCCTTTTCCACTGGACCCCGTCCAGGAACCATGAATCTGAACACCTTCCTTTTTTAGCCTGCGGCGCTAGTTACTGGTTTTTCTCCAGGATCTGGTCTGCGGCGCAAAAGCCTAGATCAAGGACCCATCCTAGGCCTGCGGCGCGAGAGCCTGGGTCAAGTCCCTCTTTTCTTCGGCCTGCGGCGCTAGATCGAGGGTCAGGCCTAAACCTGGCATAGCGAGAGCATAGAAAGATGTTTTGCTGCTAAACTACCAAAAAGCAAAACGCGAAATTCGCCCAGGATCCGAACCTATGTCCTCCCGCGTGGTAGCCCGGGAGCTAACCCCATACACGAAGAGGGACATGGCGAGAGGGGGCGGGAAAGGCCTCTTGCGTTCTGGGGAGGCGCGGGGAGGCAATGAAAGGGCCGAGCCAATGCCCCGGGCGGGAGGCCTTCTGGTCACTTTACAAAATTCCATTTTTGAGTCTCAATCCGCCGAAAATTTGTAAAGATAATAAGATGCGCGTAATCCCCACTAACGAATACATAACTGGTCCAAATTACAGACCGAAATTCCATCTGGGCTTCGAGTTATGGCCCGAACACCACGGCTCTTGGCCGATTTTGTTAAGGATTTTTTAGAAAAATGCTCATAAAAACTTTATTTTACAAAAACAGACAAAACGCAAAATTATATATCGGGAGAATTCGATTTTCAATCTACCCTCCAAAAATTAGAGCCCGATTCGGTCTGGTAATCGAGATATCTTCTGAACAAACCTTTTTTCGGCCAAAATGTTAAGGATTTTTCACTATTTTCCTTGTAAAATCGTTATATGAAGGAATTTCGAGAAATAAAAAATTGCTTCACTGACAAATGTGTTTCTCCACCTACATGCCAAAAATCAGCCGGAAATTCGGCCAGACGGCCGAGAAATCGGCTGAACAGAAAACAAACATACTTTTCTCGCTTATAGGATAGGATACGAGCAAGCATTTGCTTGTTTTTATACATGAATCGATAGAGCAAAAAATTCTCTTGCGAATGCACCCCACTAACGCACCTGTCGTTCAATTTTAGCAGATTAAAACCAGCGCGAAAGCGCGGCAAATACTTTCTAGCCACCCTGTATTAGCGTATGCTGGCGGGAGCGTTAGCCTATCTAATGGGGGAGAAGCAGCACTTTTCGTTTTTCTGCACTTTCGGGCGTTTATGCAAAATGAGGATAGCATCGCGGCAAGACGGTGCTAGAGCTGAAAAGTCACGAGGGAGCTTTTCAATCCTAGTTTTTTAGTGACTTCGGTCCCAAGATTTGGAAAGCCTTCCCCCTGTCAATGACGCACTACCGAAAATGGAAGAACAAACCTCCAATGAATCGTCAATGTACTGATGTTGATTCGCCATAGTCGTCGATTGAAGCTCAGCTACTTCCCCCCATAATTCGTGCAGATCATCGGCGGTGTGATTATGAGAGACGAATGAGATGATTGACTGAAATTGATGACTCACATCGGCATTGCCGTCCTCCTTACCAGCACCATCCACTCGGGCCCCATTTTCTGGACCTGCGGCCAGATGGCCGTAATGTCGAATTTGTTGTCAAAAATAAGTTGCCTCCAGTAGCAGCTAAAATTTGGATGAGATGGGGTGCCGGTTATTCTACCGAGAAGTCGCTTTATGGAAAGTCACTTTACCGAACGGAGTTTTACCGAAAGGTCATTCTACCGAAAAACCGTTTTACCGAAAATTCTATAATTGAACAGAAATGTGACTGTAGATCCGGTCATTATTCTGAATTTTCGGGTAATTCTGAATTCTGAACGGCACGCGAGGAAGGAAATTTTTTCGGGAGAATTTTTGGCAAAACGACCTTTCGGTAAAATGACTGTTCGGTAAAATGACTGTTCGGTAGAACGACTGTTCGCTGGCAAGAATTTCGGTAAAGTGACCGGGCATCGGGTTAGATGGGCAGAATATTTTTGTGCAGAAACCCAAGCCAAACGGACCCAAACCCTTACCGATGGACTTCTGCAGCATTTATCGGACCGTCGAAGTACTCATTCTCCATTTTGTCGAATAATGTCTCAAAAGAAGCCTCAGCGGACCCCATGTCGAGCTCGGTGATGTTCAACGACTTCACATGGAACAACTCTGGGTTTGGCATCACGTCGTAGATGTCGCGAAACTCTAGAACGTATCAATTAAAATTGGGCGACAGATGGCTCATTGTAAGCAGCGCCGTACCCGTCGCTTGACAGGATCACTAGCTAGCAAGCCCAGGATTGTGCGGGAGGTACTTACGTTGGAAAAACGCGTCGACTTTGTCGGAGGGAAATGGTTTTCCGGTCGAATCACCTCGACTCCACGCCACATAAGCATCCAGCACGAATGCCCTATGTTTCGCCCAGATCCTCGCTTCTTCCCTGGTGATGGGGTTGGGGCATCGATCCACGTATAGATCTTCGTATGCCTAAGGAAAACACATTCTTTAACGGCGACTAAAAACGTCCAAAATTCAGTGAGGCGCGAAAAAGAGAAGTTGGGCTTTGTGCAAAAAAAACCGCCGAAAACGGGGAAATTTCAAATTTAGCGTGGTGACCTTCAAAAACACGGTTTCGGCTGCTTTTGCGGAAAATTTCGATTGTAAAACCTTCATTGTATGACATTTAACGAGGAATGAAAAATCCAGAATTTCAAAATTTTGATGTTTCCACGAACAAGTCGTGAAAGAACCGTGTGGATCCCGGTTTAAAATTGGCCAGAAATATAACCATGAATTTTTGGAAGTTCTGAACCCGTTAAACTCAGCCTCGGCCGCTCACCTCTAGGATGCCGGGAATCAGTCTGAAAAAGGGTGTTTGATGTGAAATTTTGCATCTCTTGTATTAACCAAAAAACTTACTTGATGCCTTTCTCGTAGAGATGTTTGTCTCCGCCAGTCAAATTCTTGAGGTATGGCCAGTCTTCCAACCCGAAGATCCTCTTCAAATCGTTGACCCGAGCCTTCACTTTCTGAACATTGAACATTTACTAGTTTCAGTTAAAAGTCTGTGGGAGCCTAATTGTGTCTGCTTACGTCGTAATCGGCAGATAGGACTTGTCGTAGATCATGGTCGCGCGGCCTGGAAATTGACCCGGCGGCCGCCGCGAGTTGGAGCACACATATCGACCAAGTCAGAAGTGCTGGTATTCCGGAAGGATACCGCATCTTAAAATACTTGGATTAAAGGGATGAGAGAGAGAGAGAAAGGGAGATAGAGTGAGAGAGTGAGAGGGAGAGAGATACGACGTGTTACTCCGGACTAATAAAAAAGATAGGCCTGAGTTGACTAATATTACAGGATATAAGGCTAAGGCTAGACCAAAACAGGAGGGAAGGATGAGAATGATACGGATTTTGCGACCTCTTCTGGCGATGATGCGACATCCATCTGCTGCAGATGTGCCGGATATCGAATGATTGCCAGGTTTTTGAATACCTGGCAACATTGAGCATAATGCCTCGAAACCGCAAAGCGACTGTATGCATTAATGATGTTACCCACCAAAGGTTGGTTGATACAAAAAAACTCCCGCAAAGCAAAACATTAGGCGTGTAGGTTCACTGTTTTCTGTATACTGTCAGGTATTTATTCAACGAAATAAGTTATGTTAAGGGTTCATGAGCTTCGCATCGAAGTTTATGGAAAGAGCAGCAATAAAACAACAGAGATCTGATCACAAACTAAAATAATATAAGAGTGTAGCATTCATTGTACTCGGATCGAAATTCGGTAGGCTTGTAGTCAGTCGCACGGACTTTCCCATAGTGTCGCTGTGGAATTTGCGACTGGATGATAGTCGAAGCTAAGGGGCAGTATGAAGAATACCACCCAGCATGCACTTTTGAAACAGCGAAGCATCGATGATGTTTGTCGGATATGTTCGTTTGGTTGTAAAGTCTGTTGTCCAACTCAACCATTGACGCTTCCAGATCACCACTCGTTTCATAGCCTCTAAAAATAATTATGTTTGGAGAAATTCGGATGGAAAGAGGAGAGAGAGAGAGAGAGAGAGAGAGAGAGAGAGAGAGAGAGAGATAGATGGTTTGACACCGCCGAGTTAAAAAAGTGGCTCACCCAAAAACATCACGCACGATCTTTTGCAACGTCCGTTTCGAATGCGGCAGCTCCAGTCGATTTGCTTCAAGATCAGCATATTCTAAAATTTTCATACAGGATTATGTTGTATTTTGCGCACCAATCCCAGAACGCCAATGCGAGCTCGAAGATCTTTGGCGGCTGATCAGGAACTGAAGCCCATCCTCTCCTGGGCGGGAAGAGCAGTTAGAAGATTTGTTAAAGACGGAGAGTGGTTGAGTTGTGGAGATGATCGTAGCTTGGAAGGACCAGCTGAAATTGGAATTTTGGGGCACATGCTGTAACACCTACGACCCCCCTGTCATCGATCGAATTTTGTTGGCCGTGTTGCCAACGGCCTCCTTCAGAATTGTCGTCTGAGCGGTGTTACCCGAGATCTTTGCGATCAGATATTCAGCGCGAAAAACTTCTTGATGTAGGAACGGCCAGGTGTTCTGAAATTGGCTGCAGTCACGCGTTATTGATATGATGTCGTAACAGCCTGGAGGCGAAGCGCCAAAGGTCTCGATGCCCTAGGTCTACATCGAAGCGCGTTTTTGAGTTTACTATCACTGTTAAACCAAGCTACGTCAAAGGTAAAATTAGCTAGACCGAGTGAAAGCGTTGCTAACAATAATCTAGGTTACCCCATCCGTAACATTAAAATAAGTAACATACAACTGACGCCTAAGCTAACCTATGCGGCCCTAAGGCTAGCATAAAATTAAAAGCAGCGAAAAAAGCATCTAAAAAATTCTTGCGCCACGCCCATTTAAACGGTACCGCGGCACTTGTGCCGCGACATTTACGCCGGCGACACCTGCGCTGTGACACATGCGCCGCGACACTTGCGCCGCGTCACTTGCCCCGCGACACTTGCGCCTGAAATTTGCGCCGCAATACTTGGTTTCAGCTACATGAAGATGCAATATTTCGCGTCGAGCCCGAATTTGGTTAAAGAAACGATAGAAAGGTGGTTTCGCGAAGTGTCGGGGAGCCTTTTAAACTTCACGAGCCAACTATCGTAAATTCTATCGTAAGCTAAGATAATAAATTCCGCTAGAGCTCTTTTGACAATCCCCTTAAATAACACAAATTCGTTTCTTCTAAACCAGCTAGTCCCCAAAAAATGTGCAAAACAAACCGCGAGTGATTGCCGTCCAAGCTCATTTATTTTATCGAAAATCGGATAAAATGCGTCGACCTCCCCGGTTCCAGTATTATTCAGATAGATGTTCATCGCGCGCTCCTGAAATTTCGATAAAGCATAACACATCGCAATTTGCCTACCAACACCATGAGATCGTATTGAATCTTGTCGATGGCCGACCAGGCCACATCCATGCGGAAATTGCTGTCCAGGATGTGTTGTGTCCAGTAGCACCTAAATACGCATTATAGCCACTTCGCCTAAAAGCCCTTTCGCATAAGTTCTTGCTCGTCTTCAGAACTGCGTTTTGCGGAAAACCAAGCATTTTCCGAAACGTTATAATTGCATTGTTATTTTTAAGCATGATTCTTGAAATTTTTCCTTTTCACTTCGATACGCCATTTTGGTAAAAGGAACTTAGAGAATTATGGTAAAAACTAATAAACAGCTATATCGTCTCGAAATCGCTAACGTTTTGACTAAAAATGCAACTCTGAAGACGCGCACAAATCTAGGCGAACTGGCTTTGGGCGAGGTGACTTTTACGCGACACGGATTTTAGGAGAACCGGCTTGAGGTGAAATGGCTTTTAGGCAAAAAGGATCTTAGTCGACGGTTGAGGCGAAACGGGTTTAAACGAAAAGTCAAACGCCAAATCGTTACCCGTTCAAGGATGTATCATTTAATGGACCGTGCTGCGTTTCCATTTGCTCGAATAATCCTTCAAACGAGGCGTTTGCAGATCCCTTCTTCAGCTTGGTGATGTTCAACGACTTCACGTCAAACAGTTCTGGACTTTGCATGGATTCGTAGATGTCGCGAAACCCTATAACGTTGGAAATCGGAACAGGGTTGGAAAAACTTGGCGATCTTTAAAGGACTAGTTCAACTTTTAGAGCTTGGGCTGGTACCGTGGGACACTATGGACGTAGCTATACCGCGCATGAACAGTCCCCCATTACGGCACTTATTAGAGATCGGGGAAATGAGAGAGGCGCAGACACAAAAACGCAGAGAGGGTTCGACTCCTGGCCGCGGAAATTCTTTTGTTTTATTGGCTGAACTGGCCCTTTAAAAACCCGGATGTCAACTCACGTCTCAAAAATCCGTCGACCTCTTCGTAGGGAAATGGTTTTCCGGTTAAATTTCCTCGTTCCCATTCCAGGTAAGCATCCAGCACAAATGCGCTATGTGATACCCAAATCTTTGCCTGTTCCTGGGTGATCGGATCGGGGCAACGATCCACCCAGAATTCCTGGTATGTCTATGAGAAAATTAATGCTTGAGGCACAGCCACCGTCGCTTACCCTCAAGATGTTGGGGATGAGTCTGAAAATTCAGTCTTAATGGGGGGGGGGATTCACAAAACTTTTAAACTAGATTTTTATGGCAGAATCTTTGGTATACTATAATGAAGACAACCGTTATCGGTCCAAAAACTGACTTGACGCCTTTTCGGTAAAGTCGTTCATCTCCATCAACGGCACTGATAGTCCATGGGAATTCCACCAGCCCGAAGATTCTCCTCACCTCCCTGATCTGCGCCTTGGCCTTCTAAAAATTACTTCAGTCTCCATTCCCCTGGTTAATCTTCATTGAGGGCTTGGCGCTAATGACAGGACGTGGCGCTACCTCAACATCGGCCGGCAGTTTGTGGCGGAACCCATCTAGTCGGGTGCTGCCGAGTGCCAGCAGGCAGAACCATATTAGAAGTGCCGGTATTCGGGCGCAATACCGCATCCTGAATTTTGCGGTTTTTAAAGATCTGATTTTCAGAAACTTCGAAGATTGAAAGACTTGCCGGGGGATGCTACCGGGTATCAGAAAAATGTTCCATTCGGCAATCGACCGCCTCGGTTCCAAAATTGAACCAGAGGTGCTACATTAGTGCCGGAATTATAACAAAAATGCTGTTTTTTTTAGAAATTCTCAACAGCTTTTTCAGCTTTGTTTTTAAACTTTGCACCGACTTGGATCGACTTCTAGCTGTAAATCCCTAATTTAGCTTAAGACGGTATCTTGCGTTGTAAAAATCGTTTTAATCGACACTTGCTTAATTATTTTTAGTCCGGAAAAAAATTCTTGAGGCTAAAAAGCTTGTCGGTCTGTGTATGTTACACGGGGGGGGGGGGGGGGATTTTGCGCGGGGGACAGACTCTTGGGGCCGACCTACTATTATTTTTGCATTTTATTTGTTACAAACCAAACTCTTCGAATATTTTCGATGCCCTGCAATGAGAGAATTTTGAAAAATATCCAAAATGTCAAAAACTTGCTTTCATTCTGTGTCCTCATGGAAACGACGTTTAAACTTGGTTTAGTCCTAACTATTTTACATTCAATTACAGCCAAGTTCCTATGAGTAAAATGTTCAAAAATCGCTTATGGAAAAATTGCGAAAGGTTCGAAGCGATGCGGGTTGCCATGCACCCTTTTTGGCCAGGATGACCCTTTCGGCATCTTCGGCAGATGTCCCAGGTATCGATTGACCTCGCAAAAATGTCGATCATGATATTTTGAATCGACTGGAGTTGCAAGTTCCGAAAACTACCCTTGGTACAGAAAAGCAGTATTCGTCACCATGGAAATGAATTAACTTGTTAAATATTTCTTTTATAACCTTCATTTACAGGGTGCGGCAAAAGTATTGTCGCGAGCTTTTGCCTCATATCTTATTCGCGACAAAAAATCGGGAAGTTTTGTCAACATGATTAGCTTCAGACAGGTCCAATGCAGCAATCTGCTTTTGAAAGTTTCTTGGAATCATGATTTTTGAGCGATTTTCATTGCATGATGTACACGACCAAAAATCACGTTGCGCCGCGCCCTCCGTTCGTCGAAATAGGGTTCTAAATTCGGAGACTACGTGGGACCATGTCTTTTCATATGTGTTTCTGGTAGCATTTTCTTTGTTCTCGGTCGTACAAAATGGAAATCTTATAATTTTGTGATTTGAAGGAGTTATGGCCTCAACCATGTTAGACGAAAATGGGCTAATCTGGCCGGTTTCGCGAGAAACTTGGGTTTTTTGAGTTTTTAGTTTCTGAAGAAGCTCTCAGGGGATGACGTAACAGTATATTATTATGTTTCCTGTTTGCTTATTTTAATGTGCATGATGCGCTAAATCCTGATCGTTATCCACCGCTGGTTTGAAAAAAATTATTTTGCATTTGCACGCAGTCTTGGAAGCTTATGTTTTCGAACCAGGTCTGGATTACTGGGCGCAAAATCCGGGAATATATAAAAAATAGCATGGATCAACCAGAAAAAAATTAGCAAGGCTATCATTGCTTTGCGGACGACGCAATATCGCTTTTTGCTTACAGGGCGGCCATGTGCGGCGCACTGGGTTTGCCTCTTCTTAGAATAGGGCTCCCTCAAAAAAGGAGCTGCAAAATTCTTTGGCTGATGGTTTCTCAGGCAGAGTTTTACATGTTCTTTCAAATTGAATAAGAAGCTTGGCGTAGATACCATTCTTTGGCCACCTAGAGAGCGTCTAAAAAGCAGTTTTTAGGCTTGAATTTGCCGGGTTTTTGGAAAAAGTTGTCCTAGCGACAAAAAAAATCAAAAATTGGAAGTAAATCTTATCATCGGATAAAGCATTAAAAACTGCATAAGATCGATTTTTGGCTAGAATATCTGTCAAATTTCCTCGCAGATACAGCCGGCGGAAAATCGCGACAATACTTTTGCCGCACCCTGTATCATAAAAAACTGCATATTAACGGAAATTTACAACGTTAGGGCATGAGAAACGAGTCAGCAACAGCTAACCGATTAAAAGAACATAAAGTAATAACAATCATTATAATCCGATCGGAATTGGGACGGCTTGTACACATCAACCAGGGGTTTCATCCAAAATCGGCGAGGAAATTGTGATTGGATGATAGTGGGCGGTAGTGGGCAAGATCCAGAATACCATCCAGCATGTGCTTTTGAAACAGCAAAGCATTGACGGTGATTTTCAGAGATGTTCGTTTGTTTGTTCAGTCTGTTATCCACTTCAACCATCGAAGCGTCCAGATCGCCGTACGTTTCGTAGCCCCTGAAAAAAATTATGGTTTAAGAAATTGATGCAGATTATAATTCTGGGTTGCTAAGGAAAGGTTGACTCACAGCAAGACATCCTTGATAATTCGCTGAGCTTTTCCTCCCGGATTCGTCAGCTCCAACCGGTTTTCATGCAGGTCAAGGAAATCTAGAAACAGTCATAGCAAAATTCTTGAATTGCCGGTACCTATTACTCTTCGGTTAGGGTCGGCGTGGTTAGAGCTTCGGAGACTGAGCAAAAAGATGAGCCCATCGCCGCCAGGGCGGGAAAAACAGTCGGTGGACTTATGGTAGATGGCTAGGTGATTTGTGACAACAATCGTGGCTTGGAAGCCGTAGCTGAAATTCAGGTTCTCTCTCTCTCTCTTTCTCTCTCTCTCTCTCTCTCTCTCTCTCTCTCTTGCTCTCTCTCTTTCTCCTTTTCTTTTTCTACCTCACGTACTTACATTCCTGAAGCCATGGTCGCCAGTTTTGTGGCGGTCTTCTGTACCGTGTTTTTCAGAATTTTCGACTGATCTTTGTTTCCGGCGCGTTTCGCGATCAGGTATTCAGCACGGAACATTTCCTGATGTACCCAAGGCCAAGCGTTCTGGAATGGAATAGCAACGGTATATTTTCAAGACTAAAAAAAGACAACACTAAAACATACAGGGGTCCCATAAAAAAGCACCCCTCCCGCATTTCGCCATTTTACACCCGATCGGTCCCAAAATTGGCTCAGGGGTGTATTAGTCCCTAAATAGCCACAAACCTGAGTTGTAGCCCGCCAGCTACAGTAATTTCGAGATACAGCAAAAATAGACTTTAATATCCGTTTTTCATAAGGTTTTCGTCGGAATCGACCCTTCGAACCTTAAGTGAAAAAAGCGGCAAGCCTTCTTTACCCCCTAAAAATTTTTTCTGATAAAAATTAATTAAATAACCGTTGATTTCAACAATTTTTGTAACTCAAATTCTCCCCCGACATTAGGCGAAATTAGGGAATCGCAGCCGGAAGTCGGTGCAAATCGATGCAAAGTCCAAAAAGATAGCCGAAAAAACTGTTAAGAATCGCGTAAAAAATAGTATTTTGGCGATTACTCGAAAATTACTGTAGCGATCGGGCTATAACTCAGGATTCGGTTATTTATGGTCTGATACACCCTTGTGCAAAGTATGGGACCGATCGGATGTAAGACGGCGAAATGCCGTAGGGGGTGATTTTTTTGGGACACCCTGTGCATAAATAAAATCAGCATAAAAATCACCCCCCCAACGGCATTTCGCTGAGTTTCATTGAAGCGGGTCAAAAATTCGGTCCGAGCTGCATCAGACCCGAATTAACCATAGCCCCCCATAGCTACAGTAGGTTTTGAGAAAGAACAAAATAAACGTTGCTAGCCGTTTTTCACAAGGTTTGCGTTGAAACGAACCCTCCAAATATTAGCAAAGCCGGTGCGGTGGCTTTTCTTTACCACAGAAATTTTTTCCTGACAAAAACGCCAAAACCACGCATATATAAACGTTTTTTTACAATGCAAAACCGTCCATGAGCTTAAATGTAAACTAAAATCTCGTTCAAAAAGTGGGTCGCCGTCGTGAATTTTACCCCTTCGCCGTCGCTTGTCCCCACGCTTCATAGCCCCTCGCCCCCTCCTCTCCTCTCGTCCTCTACGAGATTTTAGTGTACCCTTAAAGACCGTCAGAACGATGAAATTCCGTTGAGAGTAAGAAAGTTGCGCACCAGACGGGGTCGAACCGGTGATGGTTCGCTCCACAGTCCGACGCGCTAGCCATCATACCACAGGGCCGATTGGAGTAGGGACTCAGAGGCGCCCCAAACCCTAGAGGGCTTTTGCCCAATACGGGGCACGACTAATGACGCCTCACTCCGCGCGTTCATGGGGGCCGCACCCTCGGGGTGACAGTGTGCGTTCCCGAGTTCTAGCGGTCTTTAAGCCAAATCAGGGATTCGTAGCCGGAAGCCATTACCGTTGGATTTCGAAAATTGTGTTTTGCCTTTCGAGGTAGTATACAGGAGCCAAAAACAGAAAACCAACCAGGAATGAATGGGTCGTGTAGGCAAGCATATGTTGAGAGATTGCATATTTGACATCGTGCAATTCGTTCAAGTCCTCCACGCCCTGACTGCTGTGATTGTGATAGAAGATAAGGGCCATATGCTTAAATTAATTAATTACATGAGCCTTGTAAATCATTTTACCATCACTGTCCAATCGTCTTCCTCCTTTTCGAATCTCATTGTGGTCTCGGTCAGACTGAATTTGGTTTCCAACATATACTGCTTCCAGTAGCACCTAAAAGAAAAAAAACAGACATAGACGAAAGTTTTTTCTTGGCAGTTGGTGGCGGAAGTCCTTACCCTTTCAGCTCTTTGTCATTTACGGGACCGCGGAAGTACCGCGATTCCATTTGTTTAAATAATTCCTCAAAAGAAGCCTCCACTGATCCTTTGTAGAGCTCGCTGGTGTTCAACGACTGAACGTCGAACAGTTCCGGGATGGGCATTGATTCGTAGATGTCCCGGAAATCTACAAAGTTTCGATGCGTCAAAAAAAGTTGGTGCGCATATGATAGCGGGGGGGGGATAATTATTTCGAATATTTTAAATAACCGTTGGATTTTGCGATTGGCATTCCGAATATATCGTCGATAAAAATGAACTAACAAGAAGACGCTTTTGAGTGTCGCCGGGAATTTGGGATGAGACCAAGCCTATCTTCTCCAGAATTTTCCGCTGATTCCGAATTTAGCTACCGTTTTTGTGGAGTAGACATTTCTCGAAAGTTACGAACGATCTCAACCTAAAAACGCCGCCAAATCGGCTACTTTCGATGGAGATAAAAAGCTTTGGAATAGGTTTTAGAAAAAAACAGCAGATAGTGCATCTTCTTCAGAAAAAAATTAGCTATCAAACACGCTACTTACTTCGAAAATGTTAATTCTGCACAAGATAGGTTTGGTCGCATCCAAAGTCCCGACGAAACTCAAAAAACGTCTCCTTGTAAGAAAATTAACTCCACCCCAAAACAAAAAGCATTTGCATTTGTATTTACAGGAGCAATCTTTTTACCGAATAGAATAGAAATAGGACAGCAGCACTTATTTTCGACATTTTGAGAACGTCATTCGAAAGCTGGCCGAAAAAAAACATGAAAAACGGTTTCATGGCCCGAAAAACCACGTCCAAAACTTTTTTGATTTGTGCTTCCCTGCCGGTACGTCTAACAACTTACGCTGGAAAAAGGCATCAACCTTATCGTATGGAAAAGGACCTGTAGTCGGATGTTCTCGATCCCATTCCAGAAAAGTATCTAGCACAAATGCTCTATGCTCCGCCCAAATTCTTGCTTCTTCGTTGGTAATCGGTTCAGGGCAACGTTCCACGAAGAACTCGTGGTATGCCTGTAGGATGCCGGGGATCAACCTGACAATGTGGTGGTCAAGAAGGAATTCTATATACAATCGTTTGGGGGAAAACTGACTTGATGCCTTTCTCGTAAAGATGTGGATCTCCGCCAGTCAAATTCATCCGGCGTGGATAGTCGTCTAGCCCAAAGATCCTCTTTACATCGTTGACCCGAGCCTTGGCTTTCTGAAATTTAGCGGCATTTTAACTCGTTTGCATGACGTTCTTTCCCAATTTAAAACCTGCTATTTATTTTCGGGGTACCGCGGCACTTGCGGCGCGGACACTTGCGGCGCCACCTTGCGGTTACTTAGTTTAAGCAGGATAAAAATAGTTTAGAGTAGAGTGTTATTTATACGCTGCTTCTGAATTTGGTGATAAAAAAATAAAAAGTGTTTGCCCGTGCCCTGGCAGGCAATTCACCTCCCTTCCTGAGTGGGGCGCCCCTCACCCCCCGCCAGCTTGCACCTGTGGCTGACTGGTATCCATCCGCCCCTCCCGAACGGGGGCCCGGGTTCGACCCCCGACCGCGGCAAAAATCTTTGCTTTCTTGCCAAAAAACGTCCCTGAACGTCTATCCTACTGTCGTATATTTTGGGATAGGCCTTACATTTCAGGCAAAAGCCGGAAGAGAGACGAGAGCCCTCACGGTTTCGATCCTGGCACTAAATTGTTTTTGACCGATTTCTTTGTGAAAACACTTTAATTCGCAGGTTTTGAGCTCATTTTGAAAGTACACATTACGTTAAATAGGTTTTGTGTTTTAATCAGCGAATTTGACCCAGAAAAAGCTGAGGTTCACGTGGTTTTGGAGGTGACCACTGGCAATTTCAAATTTCGCCGTTTCCCGCCCTTTGGGTGTGCACAGGTCCTCGCCGTATCGGGCTAATGTTTTTCCGACTGTATTTGAATTTTTGGCAGCTCAGCGTCCCTTTGAACGTGAATAGATGCGTGGTGTGACCATGACCCTTTCAGTTCGAGGCTTTGCCTACCTCCAAATCGGCAGGCAACTTGTGGCGGACGCGAAAACGGCTCGACGGCGAAACATAGCCGGCCTCAACGACAACTCCAATAACGCCCATCACCAGGAGCTGGGCTGGTATTCCAGTGGAATACCACATCCTGAAAAATGGGGGTGATCAAGGGGACTGGAAACGGAGGCGGCTGGGGCCGCGATGGTGAGCGAGCGATGGTGTAGGTATTTTTTGAAAAATTGGCCTAGTGGCAAGTGCAAATCAGAAAAGAACTAAATCCAAGGAAAGGATGGAGTTATTGGAATGACGTGCTTGTTGGGAATGCTTCCGAGCAAAGATGCTGTGTGAAAGTGTTTGCTGCCTACCAAAAAGACAATTTAAGATCTACGGGCAATCGGGGTTAGCGGGCGTAGCTGGTTTCTTCTCCAGGTTGACCCTTCCGGCACCTTCGGCAGATGTCCAAGGTATCGATTGACCTCGTAAAAGGGTCGGTCATGATAACTTGAATCGACATGAGCCGCAAGTTCCGAAATTTTCTCGTGGTGTTGATGTTCAATTTTTTTGGCCTTAAAAATGAATCAGCGTGTTAAATATCTGCTTCATAGCCTTCATTTATCAGGGAAAAAATGCGCATAAACGGAAATTAAAATGGTTAAAACGTAAGAAACGATGAGCAACAGATTACCATTTAAAAGAACATAAAATTGTAACATTCATTATAATCCGATCGGAATTGGGACGGCTTGTACACAATAACAAGAGGTTTCAGAGAGTAATGGCGCGGAAATTGTGATTGGATGATAGTGACTTCAACCATCGAAGCATCCAGATCGCCGCTCGTTTCGTAGCCTCTGAAAATTATGGTTTAAGAAGATGATAAGAAGAGGATGCCAGAAAACGCGGCCGGAAATTCCGAAAAAAAATTCAGACTCACAGCAAGACATCCTTGATAATTCGCTGAGCTTCTCCTCGTGGATTCGTTAGCTCCGAACGGTTTCCTTGCAGCGCATGGGATTGATCTAAATAATTGGCATCGAAGAATATTTTTCGAGAAATTGTCAGAATTGGGAGTTCCCCATTTTCCTAACAAGGGAGCCTACTACAAGAACCGGGATTTCGAAATGGGACCCAGCCTAACTTGGACAAATTTTTTGTTGCTGATTTCGAACTTGGTTCCTAAACCGCCAAATAGTTCCGTTCAAAAGTTCTGTACCATTTAAATGCGGCTTTAGGCCCCAGAAAAGTGGTTCTTCGCCTTCTTACTGTTCTAAATTATTTCTTGCTGAACTGCTGAAAGAATTCTTTTCTGATTAGAATGGCATACTTTGCAAGGACCTGGCAGCTTTTAGGTCAAAATTTATCGGTGTGCGAAATGCGCCGTTTTTGCCCAAGTCCCACTTTTGGTTTTCGAAAACCTTGGGTTCAAAGGCTCATTCCATAGTGAGAAAATTTTTCAACACGATGACAATATTAATTTTTATCAAATCAACCAGAAAGATCAAACAATCGAACTTAAATTTCCCCAATTTCAAGGCTTAAAAGCTTATAACTTTTGAATCCAAACCTATTCCGCAGTTTTGAAAAACATATTTGGAATCAACGAAAAATTCATCATGAGACGTGCTAGACCCCTTTCGATTGGCCAGCCTGACTTTAGGAGGTTCTCGCTCAGGGAAATCGGGATCCGTGATGGTACGTTACATACCGTGCACAACATCATAACCGCTCTTCCGGCTGATCAGAAATTGGAGCCCATCCTCGCCATGGCGGGAAGCGCAGTTGGAAGATTTGTTGAATACGGATAGTGGTTGATTTGTGGAGACGATCGTAGCCTGGATGGCCCAGCTGAAATTGGAACTTTGATTTTCCCTTCTCCCTCATATCCACAGACACACCATCTCACTTACTCGCTCAGAGCAAAGAAACGAATTTTTTCGGCGGTGTTCCTGACGGTATTCTTGAGAATTGTCGTCTGATCCGCGTCCGCCGCCGTCTTTGCAATCAGATATTCAGCGCGAAAAACTTCTTGCTGCACCCACGGCCATGCGTTCTGAATTGAATTTTGGGCTTGACTTTATTTTGTAGACTTTTTAACACGATTAGCTAGAGCATCGAAAAATATACTACGAGTTTATGGTAGCTCCAAATAATGTAGTATAATAAAGGTTATAGCAAAAATAGAAATAACCTTTGAAAATCGGCTAAAATGTGGTTTTCCATTTTTGCTATTTTTCGAAATTTCCAACCCATGAGGCGATCGAGCATTGAGAAATATACTGATAGTTTGAATTTCAGCTCAAAATAATGTAAAATAAACATAGTTAGATCAAAAGCAAGCAAAATTTGGCAAAAATGCCAAACATTAATTTAATTTTATAAATGTCAATATTTATTTTGCCGTAATTTCTGGCCGGTGTATGATAGCTAGTCCCCAGCACTACCCTTAGACAGTCTTCAAAAAATTTTCAGGTTTTTTTGTGTGATTTTTGTCGATTTTGGAAACAAAAAAATTTGTGCAAAACATACCGCCAATGATTGCTGACTGTACATGTATAGATGCTCGGCGATTTCAATCCTTGCATTTGCAATCGCGTAATAGTCCTCTAACTCATATTCCCCGGCATTCTGGAAATACATCCACCTGGCGTGCTCCTAAAATTCATTAATTGGATAACACAGCACAATTTTTATTACAATCATCATTAAATCCATCTCGCTCTTTTGGAACTGCGGCCAGGTGTCCGCCAGGCTGAATTTGCCGTCCAAAATGTGTTGTTTCATGTAGCACCTAAATGAACGTTTTGGTCGCGTCGTTTAAAGGGGCTCCGTACTAAAAAAAAATGGACGGCCCGGAAAGGGAAGTTACGTTGGAGACGTTGGCACACCCGAGAGGGCGCCTGAATTTAAAATTCCCCGTTGTCACTGTCAGAACCCATTCTGTGCTGTATCTGGGCCAAATTCGATGATTAAAACAGCAAAACTATTTAAGATTGGGTGAGGCTTCAAAAAATGAGCTCAGAACCCGCGAATTATAGTGTTTTCACAAAGAAATCGAGCGCGAATTGGCTTTCGGGTCGCAACCAGACCTATTTTGTGCAGAATTTTGCGCTGATTCCGAATCCGTTTTCAGAAAGTGCTAATGGCCATTTTGACCGAGGTAAAAGGCTTTTAGCTAAACGCTCCGAAAGGATTTTCTCTCTTTCTTCACATTTTCTAAGGGTTTATGAGCATTGAAAATGTGCCATTTCGAAGCTTTGCAACTGCTTCAAATGGCATTTAGCAATTTTTGAAATCACGTTCGGAATCAACGCAAAATTCTGCACAAGATAGGATTGGTCCCATCTTGAAGCTTCAAGATCGCTAAAAAAGCCGCTACTTGTAGGAAAAGATAATTACCCGGTGAAATCTGAGGCATCAGCCGGATATTGACTGGGGAACTGTTTCTCCATTCGCTTGAATAATCCCGCAAAAGAAGCCTCAGCAGATCCCATATCGAGTTCGGTGATGTTCAGCGACTTCACGTCGAACAACTCCTGATTCGACATCGTTTCGTAGAGGTCGCGAAACTCTAAAACACCTAGATACGTGGAAAACAGAAACCGTAAAGATTACACGTTACCGTTGAAATTGCTGTCCTGCGGCACCTACTTACGTTGGAAAAATGCGTCAACCTCACTACGAGGAAAGTGATTTCCTGTCGGATATCCTCTTGCCCAAGCCATGTAAGCATCCAGCACAAATGCTCTATGTTCCGTCCAAATCTTCGCTTCTTCCTGGGTGATCGGATCGGGGCATTTATCCACGTAGAATTCTTTGAAAGCCTATTAAAAACAATAATTCAACCTTAGCCGCCGCCGCTTACCTGCAGGATGTCTGGAATCATTCTGAAAAAAATTGGGTTAAAATGGGAATTCAGAATTTTGGAAAAACAGTTTTATGATTGGCTACGGTCTACTTTACCCCCCCAGCCTGAGGGTCCCAAATTTTTCGATAGTTTCGTTATTTTTTAATTTTTTCGACGCCATTCGATAGAGCAGCAAAAAATATACTAAGAGTTTTTATGGCAGCTCAAAATATTGTAATAGAAAATAGTTATAGCAAAAACAAAAACAACCTCTAAAAATGGGGTTAAAAAGCTAGTTTTCGATATTTTCGTTATTTTGAGATTTACGACACGCCATTCGATAGAGAATCAAAAAATATACAGAGTTTTAATTCCAGCCCAAAATAATGTAATATAAAATAGCTACAGCAAAAACAAAATTCAAACGCGATTTCCTTATGGGTACAAGAGGTGCAAGGCTAGTTTTCGACATTTTCGGCATTTTTACAAAGTTTCTTTAACACCATTCGATAGAGCGTCAAAAAATATACGAAGAGTTTTAATTACAACCAAAATAATCCTACTATATATAAAAAAAATAGTGTTTGTGTGTGTGTGTTTGCCACTTTGCATCCACTTCCGTCTGTCTGTCCGGAGGATATCTCAATAAGCGACGGGTATTCGGTTACGTATGATACGTCATTAGGTGCGTAATGGTCTAGGGATGACTGCACACATATCAGATTTTCAAAAATTAGCCATTTTCGCTATTAAATTTAAGGTTTTGTAAAAACCTCTTTGTTAGGGATAATTAGCATAGAGCGGAAGTGCGTGGTCGCCTATATAAAAGGCAGAAAGGGTTGTTTTCATCTTTTTTTTGTCTTCTGAATGGAGGATAATTATGCAAACGGCAGAATAGTATGGGGTCCGCGACGGGGCCAGGGTTGAAAAGTCGCCGCGACTTTTCAACCCTGGTGTAAAATAAAATAGTTATGTCAAAAACAAGCAAAATTCGAATAACCGCTCAAACACTAATAAAAATTGCATAAATTTTTATTATATTTTTTCGCAATTCCCGGCCAGGGGATATTAACTGGGACCTAGGGCTACCGATTGGTGGCCTTAAAAAAATTTTTTGTCCGGCTGGGGGGGGGGGGGGTAAAGTAAACTTCTGCCCATTAAAAACTAACTTGAAGCCTTTTTCGTAGAGACGCTCATCACCACCGGTGCTATTCCAGGCTATTGGGAAGCCCTTCAACCCGAAGATTCTCCTCACATCATCCACGCGCGATTGCGCCAGCTAAAAAAATGGGAGTTTTGTTGATCGCAAAATCGGAAAGCTCATGATGTTAACGTGGCTTTTTTGAAATGTTGTGTAGAATTTTGACTGATGCCAAATCTGGATGCAATTGTCGCCAAATAGCTCGATTTAAAAGTTTTAAAGCAGTTTTGAGATCAAGTTCAAGTCCGGAAAAGCTGTCATTATGCTCTAATTTTTGGTTTTTATGTCATGGGCAGGTAAAATTGAGTTAAAGGGCTCATACAATAGAGGTAAAATTTCTGCATCCGATGGCAATATTCATTTTTTTGAAAGATCAGCTGGGAAGAACAAAATAATCAATCATGAAGTTTGGAAAACACAAAGAAAAATAAGCATAGAATCGCTGTAACTGTTGAAATGCTTTTTGTCAGAAATTGAATACCGGCTTGGAATCGGCGAAAAATTCTGCACAAGACAGGTTTGGTCTCATTTCTGGTTAGTCATTCGAACTGTCAGAATCTGATGAAGTAGTACGGCCGCATACTTACCTCAAATGCGGCAGGTAGTTTGTGGCGGAACGCAAATCGGCGATTCGAAATCGAACCGCCGACTGTTAGCATGCAGAACCATGTGAGAAGTGCTGGTATTCCGGCAGGATACCGCATCCTGAAAAGTTTGGGTGATTGGGAAGAGCGGAAAGTGACGATAAAACTATTGGAAGATGGGATGAAAAGAGAGTGATGAAATCACTGGCCCCCTATAATATTTATAATCAAAGAATAAGTAAAGTAAAGATTTTTGGTAGGTAGGTAAGGCTAAGCAGACGGGGAAGAGACAGAATGATGCTTGTTGTTGTGGGCCTTGTCAAGCCAGGGTGACCTGTAGGCATCTGCGGCAAAACAAAGAATTAAATGGCCGCACAAATAGGCAAGCGTCGATTCGAGTTCCGGGATTAATTTCTATGCTGGCAAGGAGCCGTTTTTAGTCACAATCGAGTTTCCCGCATGGAACTAAGCTTATCTGGTGCGGAATTTTGCGATGAACCGTTTTTGCGGAATAGCCATTTCTCCAAAGTTCTGAACGAATTAAACCTAAAACCACCCAAACCAACACCTTTTGATGGACATAAAACGCTTTGGAATAGGTTTTCGAAAAAAGATTTATCGGCAATCCTAATATACATAAAAATAGTGTTTGTGTGTGTGTTTTGTGTTCCAAAAATTCCGCCAAAACATCAATATAGCAACACATGATAACAATCCTTAGTACCCAACAGGGTTCGCGGTGTCTCGTAAGATGCAGAGAGCGTTGGGGCAATTTCGGTAGGATAACGGTGGCCCTGGTAGAAGATGGGGGCTGGGGGGCAAGTGGCCAAATACGAGCTCGGATGACTTTTTGAGACTGTCATGCACTGGGTAATTTTTGATGATGGTTTACTGAAATGGGGGCCATTTCTCGCTTCTGCGCCCAATCGCTTTCCAAGCCTCTCCATCGACGCTTCCAGGTTGTCCTGCACGTCAACACCTCTGAATTTTGTGTATTTCAGATTCCGTGAGAGCCTCCTAAGGTCAGGGTGGTAAATTAAGATAGTAACTTGCACAGCTTGTGCAGATTTTTTTGCTGATTCCGAATCTGTTTTCAAAAACTGCAAAATCGCACGGGTTGAATAGTTATAACGTTTTTGCGCTCAAGTTTTGTTTCTAATTTATGACAAGTAGTAAGACTCTAGAAACCGTTTTTCTGATTCGAATGGTATATTTTTAACCCCTGGCATTTCTAGATTGCAGTTTACCGGTGTGCGAAATGCCTCGTTTTTCGCCAAGTCCTATACAAAAATACCAACCATGCCAATTTTTCGAGTTTCGGCAATTTTAATACTAACCGGCAAATTACTGTAAACTCACCCAAAGACTTCGTTTACAACTTTCTGAAATTTCCCTCCATCCGATTCAAACATTCCCCGCATTACCGACGTGGTTTCAGCTAAAGATGTGATCAAATTTGGAGGTCGACCTACGAATCAGCTCCTCGTCCGGCATCAGAAATCGTCGGCGGCTAATCAAAAAGGTGACGCCATCGAGGTCGATCTGGGATGCACAGTCCGAAGATTTTGCGTAAATTGATAGTGGTTGATTGGGGATGATGATGGAACAGCGGACAACGAATCTGAAGTAAGGATGTAAAAGTATCTTTATCTATCCCTCTCTCTCGCTCTCTTTCTCTCTCTCTGTCCTACTGTTTGTTTAATCGTCAAATAACCGACTCCTCTGGCACTGCGCGAATAATCTTTGTCACTGCACTCTGCACTGCATTCTTCACAACTTCCGACTGATTCCAGCTTCGCGATGTGTTAGCAATCAGATATTCGGCGCGCAGCTTTTGCAGATACACCACGGGCCATGCGGAAATCTGAAAACAGCAGGGTAATGCCACTAAGCGGTATACCGAGGCGGTATGAAAGGCATTGCGTTTCAGCTCAGATCTAGAACCTTTTACGGACAGATATAATTAGCGTGGCTCTGCAAAACGAACCGCGGTTGATTGCAGATCGCAAATAGTCCACATGTGATCGATGACTGTCCATTTGTCCTCTATCAGCCTCTTCAGCTCCGGCGCACGGCTGATTCCGGTGAAATTCGCATAGAGTCGCGTTGCATCTTCCTGAAATTGAAGTATATCCTTGACGAGGCCAAGGTTAAAGGGATAGGGGCGGCATAATGCAATCGATTACGCGCGGGAAAGAAAATGTCTCTGCGCCTCCCCCTGGGCGCCCTCTCTGCCCTGTTGGCTACTTGCCAATTTGTTGATGGGGGGGAATCGACACATGCCGTCGGTAGCCCTTTGAAAACCGTGAAATAATTTTTGGAAATAAAAGTCGCGGAAGGCCGCTTCGCGGCCCTTCGTCAAAGGGCCGTTTATTTCTTTTTTTCTATGTGCCGCTTTTTTCAAAACAGGTTTTTATGTCATAAAACTTTTATATTACATTTTTCGCACTGAAAATAATTAATTGACGATATTTATAACGTGCTAACGATTGACATTTTCAAAATATACAAAGTTTAGAAATTTGGCTTCCCCCACTATTGTTGGTTTTTAGTCCAAATTCCGTGGACTTTTTCGGACTTTGGACTAAAAACCAACACTATCCCCCGCCCTGTTACCTTACGTGTTAACCTAGGTGCACGAAGAATTTGGTCCAAAATTTTGGAAGCTGACATGTAGAGATTGTGAGGTCACAGAAAATCGGATCAAAATTGGTGGAAAAATCAAATAAAATACGGGAACATGCTGCGCTAAAAATTTTTCCCCCAATTTTGATCCGATTTGGAGTCTGTGACCCCACAACCTCTACATGGGAGAATATTGAACCGCTTCCGTACCAAAATCTGCCATTCGTTCTTGATCCGGGATCTTATCTCCTCTGTGATCCTGAGGTCGTTGTGCATCATGTAGATCTTCCAATAGCAGCTAAATGATGGGATTTGAGTTGGTAGTGCGCGAGTTGGCCCCATTCACTTTCTGTCATAGCCGTTTTCAAGTATTACCTTTCGAGTTGCGTGGTATTTACTGGCCCACGGAAGTACTGGCGTTCCATTAGCTTGAATAATTCCTCAAAAGATGCCTCCGCGGATCCCTTGTTGAGTTCGGCGATGTCCAACGACTTTACGTCGAACAGCTCCTGATTTGGCATTGCCTCATAGATGTCGCGAAATTCTAGAGGTTATCGATATACAGGGTGCGGCAAAAGTATTGTCGCGGGCTTTTGCCTCATATCTGCTTCGCGATAAAAAATCGGGAAGTTTTGTCAACAGGGTTAGCTTCAGACAGGTCCAAGGCAGCAATCTGCTTTTGAAAGTTTTTTGGAATCATGATTTTTGAGCAAGTTTCATTGCATGATGTACACGACCAAAAATGAAGGTGCGCCGCGCCCGCAGTTCTTTGAAACAGGGTTCTAACTGTAAAGTGTTTTTACTCAACTTGGAGTTTCGATTCGGGACCAAGCGCATCTTGTGCAGAATTTTTCGCTGAATCCGAATATGTTTTCCAAATTTGCTACGGACTTTTATTTAAAAAATCGGTTTTGGTAACAATTAGGCCGAAAAATGCGAAAAATTCAGACGCTGGCCCACTATTCCTTGTTTGGGGCTATGGTTCCCAAGGGCCCTGAAGTACTCTCTGACAGCACCCTTCCCAGTTGGCACCATGGTGCATTGGCAAAGTACTCGATTGCCAAGCGCAGGGTGGCGGTTCGAACCCCCGCCCTGCATCATTTCTTTTGCTTTTTGCATAAAAATCTCATTTATATATCTAAAATGCTTGTTTTGAGCTGTAGGATGCTTGTCGAGCCAACGTCTAGTCAATTTTGACTTTGAAATTAATGAAGAAATCGAAAACTATAGCGATACCTCCATTTTGGTGAAAACTAGGGTCATAATTGCCGTATAACTTTCAGAATAACGGTCCGTAGCAAATTTGGGAAACATATTCGGAATCAGCGAAAAATTCTGTACAAGATGCACTTGGTCCCGAATCGAAACTCCAAGTTGAGTAAAAACACTTTACAGTAAGTTCGGAGGCTACGTGTCACTATAACTTTTCATATGTGTTTCTGGTAAAATTTGCTTTGTTCTCCATCGTCCATAGTGGAAATCTTATAATTTTTTGATTTGAAGGAGTTATGGGCTCAGCCATGGTTGACGAAAATGGGCTAATCCGGCCGGTGTCGCGGGACGCTTGGGTTTTTTGGGTTTTTGGTTTTTTTAGGAGATCTTAGGGGATGACGTAACATTATACTATTATGCTTCCTATTTGCTTATTTTAATGTGCACGCTGCGTTAAATCCTGATCGCTATCCACCGCTGGTTTGAAAAAAATTTATTTTGCATTTGCAAGCAGTCAAGGAAGCTTATGTTTTCGAACCAGGTCAGGATTACTAGGCTGAAACTTCGGGAATATATAAAAAGTAGCATGAATCAACTAGAGAAGAATTAGCAAGGCTATCATTGCTTTGCGGAAGACATAATCTCGCTTTTGCATACGGGGCGGCCATGTGCGGCGCATCGGTTTTGCCTCTTCTTTGAATAGGGCTCCCTCAAAAAAAGGAGCCACAACATTCTTTGGTTGATGGTTTCTCAGGCAGAGTTTTATATGCTCTTTCAAATGAAATAAAAAGCTTGGCGTAGATACCATTCTTTGGCCACCTAGAGAGCGTCTAAAAAGCAGTTTTTAGGCTTGAATTTGTAGGGTTTTTGGAAAAAGTTGTCCTAGCGACAGAAAAATCAAAAATTCTAGAAGTAAATTTTATCATCGGATAAAGCATTAAAAACTGCATCAAATAAATTTTTGGCTAGAATATCTGTCAAATTTCCTCGCAGATACAGTCGGCGGAAAGTCGCGACAATACTTTTGCCGCACCCTGTATACGAGGAATTAACGCAGATCGATTAATGGTCGCTAGTGCGTTTCATTTTAACTTTAATTTGAAGAGATCGACAGGGTACGGCTAGGGATTTTTGGCTATAGATTCCGATGGATCATGCCGCGCCAAGAATGCCGTTCTATCGCGTAATCCATTCCGATACATGTACGCACGTTAATGTTTGACAAATTAACTTTTAAAAACCGATTATTTTCAAAAATACCTTTAACATTACATTTTGCCTAAAAATCAATTTCTCCTAGACCTCTTTCTTCAGAAAATATCGAGTTGCATGTCGTGGCGAAGTCCATAGCCGACCTTGCTCATCCCTTTAAAAACTTACGCCTGAAAAATCCGTCGACCTCCTTGTCGGGAAAGAACTGTCCGGTAGGGTATTCCCCTCGACCCCATTCCAGATAAGCATCCAACACAAAATCTTTATGCTCAACCCAAATCTTCGCTTCTTCGGCGGTGATTGGATTTGGGCAGCGATCAACGAAGATTTCCTTGTATTCCTATTCAAAATGACTCTTTTGCTGTTGACCAGCGAAACTTACTCTCATGATGTCGGGGATCCATCTAAAAAATAGATTTCAATAGGAACTAAAAATATACAAATATAATGGATAATAGCTTAGCTCAAGCGTAAGCCTACACATAAGCAACACGAACCTGTAAGCAATATGGAATGGATGTTCTTCTCTGCCTTTCAGTTGCGGCCGCCCATCCAGTCCGAAAAATCTCTCGACGTCACGGATGCGTCCGCGCACTCGCTAAAGATTTATTTCTATTTCACGGCAGAAGTAAATTAGATTAAAGAATTAAGAAAATACATAATTTTGGCTAATCAGGAAGTATCCTGATTTTTAATTTTGGCTAATCAGGAGTGGTCCTTTTTACGCTTTGACGTTGATAAAAATTTAGAGTATTTCTCCTTTAAAAAAGGGACCGAAAACGCGGGTTACCTCATAATCGGCGAACAGGATATCCGGGAGACGCTGGACGCGCGGCTGAGAAATCGTGGCGACGGCAGCGGCGATTTGTAGCAGGAAGATCCCGAGCAGAAGTGATCGTATTCCGGAAGAATACCGCATCCTGAATATTTTATAGCAGATTATAGGAACCAGAAACTGACGTGAATATAAGAGGATGTTTTGGGTTAAGTAAAACCCTTCTTGCTAGCACTTACAAACCTGACCCAGCTCATTTAGGCCGTTGACCCAGGGCATGGGACCAAGCGAGGGCATTTGCTAAGATGATAGCAGAGTGATAAGATCAGTTTAGATGATTTTACGATCCACCGACAGTTTTGATCGCGGTTTTTGGACTAGTCGAATCAACTGTAAATAACAAAAATAGTGTTTGTGTATATTTGCCCGCAACTTCAGTGGCTGTAAAGTGGAAATTAGCCATTCAGATTTTTACGGCTCAAATCCGCCGGGAGCTAAAGGTACACTAAAATCCCGTTGGTTGGGTGACCGGCCGGTAACCATCCGCGGGATAGCAAACAGGGCTACGGTAGGCACCCGCCAGGGCCGTAACAAATCCAAATTTCGGGGGGGCGACCCCAAAAATGTTTCACTAATATGACTAAAACTACAGCGCCGCAGGCAAAATTTTTGAAAACATAGGGTTTATAACACTAAACTAAACTAGTGTTAAAAATAGCCAAAAACAGCGCCGCAGGCAAAAAATTTTTTGGAAAAATGAAATCATAAGGGTCCCCCTTATGAACTTTTCGGTCTTCGGCCGATTTCGGGGGACGGGCCTTGCACCCGCCGCGGAGCAGAACCGAACCCGGGCGACTCGCCTATGGCAAGCGCCGTGGACCACTCATCACACCATCGAAAGCTCTTATAAGGGGCCGCCTGAATTTCTCTAACCGCTAAATAGGAGAGTTTTGAGTGACCCTTACGTTTTCCTTGATAAATTTTATCCCTCAAAGTATTCGACAAGGTTTCCGGAAGGAATTAACGCTTGTAATTTTTGGTCATTGGCAGGGCCGTAGCGATCCCCGATTTTTGGGGGGGGCAACTCCAAAAAAAATTTTTTTGGCAACGTAACAAAACCATCAAAAACAGCGCCGCAGGCGAAAATTTTTGAAAACTTAGGGCCATGACAGTAAAAGCAGTCTTAAAAACAACTATAAAAAGCGCCGCAGGCAAAAAAATTCTTGAGGAAAAAAAATCATAAGGGTCCCCCCTTATGAATTTTTCGGCCTTCGGCCGATTTTGGGGGGGCAACTTGCCCCAGTTGCCCCCTTCCTACGGGCCTGGTCATTGGTGACTAGAGGTAAATTTTTATCAAGGGGGTGCTGCGACTTTTTGAAACGGATGGGAATGAGCCGAAAATTCTGAGCAAGATGTATTGAAATCACCCGCTGATCAAAAACGGTGACAGTTAGAAAATCACACCAAATGGATAAGGAAGGCGCAGAAAATCGGCGTTAATAAAGTATTTGAAAAAATAGTATTTGACAAAATTGTGAAATCATCAAAATAACAAAACATGATAGCAATTGCTGGAGCGGAATGGGACTCTGGGCGTTTCGTAAGATGCGGACGCTATTTTCTGAATCCAATACGCAAGAGGCCAACGGGAACCCTGATAGAAGATCGGGGCCGGAGGGCAACTGCCCGAATATGGGATCGGATGGCTTTTCGAGACTGCTAGGCACTGGATCATGTTTGATGATCTGCGGAACTCGTCACCGTTCGTCGCTTCTGCGCCCAATTTCTTGCTAAGCTTTTCCATTGAACCGTCCAGGTTATTTCGGGCTTCGGGGCTTCTGAAATATCAGCTAATGTGGTGATGGCTTGTAAAATATCAGCCCTGGTCAATTTTGTCGCCAAGTCAAATAGCGAGTCTTGTAGCGCTTGCAAAGGCGCCTTTTTTCATGTACTTAAAATTTTTCTAATAATTGATGGTACCGTTTTGATAAGCAAAAGAACGACACGACACTTGTGACGCGGACACTTGCGCCGCGACACTTGCGCCCCTATTTCGAAACCCGGTACGAGCTCGCAGCCCGAAGGGTGCCACGACATTTGCGGCCCGACAATTGCGGCCCAAAGCTGTAGTTAATCACACGACTGAAGCTTTTAACCGTCCTGGAGGCTAGTTTTCTGAACGGGGTTTGATCGCTTGTCCCCTAGTCTCGACCTAAAAATAAGGCTTCGTGCCACCCGGGGCCTAGTCGCTTCGGATGGGTGCGAGCTTTTACAGGGTTTCGAAATCGGGGCGCCCGAGGCGCGCGAAGCGGCCAGGCGCCCTGATTTCGAAAGAGTGGAGCGGCAGCCCATCCGAAGCGACGGCCCGCCTTTCCTGAAAATGCTTTAGACCCTTACTAACCCTCTTTTTAATTTTATATTGAGAAAAATGGGCTGAATAGGACGGGCCGCAAATGTCGGGCGCAAGTGTCGGGCCGCAAATGTCGGGCCGCAAATGTCGGGCCGCAAATGTCGCGTCCGCAAGTGTCGGGCCGCATCTGTCGGGCCGCAAGTGTCGGGCCGCAAATGGTCGGGCCGCAAATGTCGGGGAGCTATCCGAAGCGACTAGGCCCCGGGTGGCACGAAACCTTTTTCTACAGGGTGCCCCAAAAATACCCGGACAAAACGTTTTTAAAGGAGAAGTTCTTATGGAAAACCGGGGTTAGGGCGTAAGATATTATTTGTACCAGCAATTAACACATTGGGGTTGGTTTTCGACTAAAAAACACACCATTTGGGTTCAAATTTTCCGAAAAGCTTCGGTAGGGAAAACGTGCTTTTTCCGTTTCACCTTTTTTGGAATTGGGTCCGGTTCTCGCTTGAGCGACCGAATCAGGTTATATAGTAACTGACGAAACATACTACGGACGTTTTACACGAGGATAGGTTGAATAAAAACAGTTGAATGTTTGATTCTGGCCTGTTTGAGCCCTGGGAGGGATTGTCGAGCGAGGCGGTTTGCAAGAGATCAGAAACTTCAGTAACTTTCTTGGCGTTCTTACGAAAGCCTAGGGCTCCTGCTCCAAATTTTTTCAGTGGCATTGTTTTGAAAACTATTCAAACAGTAGGAAAAATTTCCCTACTTGTCCAGAAATTAGAAAAAAAACTAGAGAAAAATCACTTTAAAAAGCGTCCGGGTATTTTTGGGACACCTTGTAGTCACAGATTGGCAAGTAGCGGTCGCTTTCTCTCCAAGTTGATTGACTCCTGTCGCATGACCGACTTTTGTCATTACGTTCACGAAATTCCGAACCAGCACGAGAAACTGCAATTTCAAGTAGCTTAAACTAAGTGGCACGACACAAGTGTCGCGGCGCAAAGGTCAGGCGCAAGTGTCCTCGGCGCAAGCGTCGATCCCCCCCCCCCCTGGCGGGCCGCAAGCCTGTCCGATTTTTATGATGTAGATATTTAAAGAAAGCTCTCGGAAAATCGTGTCCAGATAAGATCTTTAATTTTCGAAATTCTGGGATCATTTGTAAAATATGAATTTAAGATTTTTCCTCAGGCTTACCCGAAAATTTCCTCGACGTTCTGCGGAAGTTTCACATCAGCCTCCTCCCAAAACCCGCGCATTGCCGTCAGGGTCCCAGCTAGAAAAATAGGATCAAGATTTTGGCGTCGACCCACGCCCCGTCTCGTTTTCTCCATGACCAAGGTGTCGGCGGCTGATCAAAAAATGGACCCCGTCAGGGTCGATTTGGGAAGAACAATGGGGGGATTTATCATAGATTGATAGTGGTCGATTGGGGATGATGATGGACACGCGGACCACGTATCTGAAGAAATATTCTGAATGTCGAATCTTTTTATTTTTGTGTAGGATTCGGGCAAATTTTGATATGCTGAATTGTGCAATGATGAATTTTCCACAGCTCGGCTGCCTCTCTCTCTTTCTCTCTGCCCCCTTGTCTCTCTCTCTCTCTCTCTCTCTCTCTCTCTCTCTCTCTTTCTCTCACGCTCGCTCACTTTAACTCTCACTCTCTCTCTATCCCCCTCTCTATCGCTCTCTCTTTCTTTAAAAGTCCAAAAACTTACGGCATTTCCTGCCAGCGATGAATTTTTTTCGCAGCACTCATTACGGCATTTTCCACAATCTCCGACTGATTCCAGCTTGGCGTTGTGCTGGCAATCAGGTACGCGGTTCGCAGTTCTTGTTGATACACCGAGGGCCACATCGATTCCTGTGAATATACAGTGCAGAGATAGGAGGAAACGGAGGTCTCGTCGAGAAGCAACTCAGCAAAAACGAACCGTTCTTGATGGCTCATCCAAATTCAAGAAAACATGGCGGTCGACTGCCCACAATTCCTTTTCCAGCCTCTCCAGCACCGATGCCCGGCTGATCCCCGTGAAATTCTGGTAGAGTCGTGTCGCATTTTCCTGAAATTTGGCTACACATCGTTACGTCTAAAATACTTAGCGTCGGTTCGGGCAGAAATATGGCGAAACGATCCCCCCAGCCCCGAAATCGGCCGGGGTCCGAAAACTTCATAAAACCAAGGAGGTATAATAGAGGGCGGGTTCAGAAAGGGGACCCTTATGATCTTTTCTCGAAGTTTCTCTGCCTGCTGCGCTGTTTATTCCTCCTCTTAAGACTGTTTTTACTGCTATCCTATTTTTTCAAAAGTGTTCTTCACTCTTATCTTGCTTTCCAAGCGCTCTTTCTGCGGTGTTTATAAACGAATTTGAGCGTAAAGAACGCGGTTTTCTAAATTTTTTGCCTGGGGCGCAGTTCATGACCCGATTTTCGAATGTTTTGCAAGTGTTGGGGATCGCTAAAATGTTTGGGTCTCCCCCCACCCCCCCTGAAACGGAGAAAGTAGATTATTTGGGATGTTTTTAAATTCGAAATCTGAGCTATTAAACGTCAATTTTACGGTTCCAGACCCCGCTCATCAGATCATACAGGGTCAAAAAAATAGAACGGCTCCTTTTTGCACTATACGGTATTTTCCAAGAATGAACCGGATATCTTAACCCCTTTCATGGAGAATTTGCGAAAAAAGTAGATCACTACCACCCTACCAGAACTTTCCACTCATTCTTGATACGTGTCATTAGTTGATACCGTACATCCCATTCGAGGTCCGTGTGCATGGTATACACTTTCCAATAGCATCTAAATGTCGCATTTTTACAACATGTGCTTAAGAATGCGACAAGTTGAAAAGGTTCTGCTGTCAGAGCGCCAAAATTTCAATATAATTTCGGGTTTTTCTGGGAAGCTTTTAGTATGTAAATTTCGGCATTATGATTTTCGACATCTTGAAACCCATGAGCCCATTGGCAATAGACGGTCAACATTATTTAATACCCTTCGAGCTGCGTGACATTCACGGGCCCGCGAAAGTATTGGTGCTCCATTTGCTTGAATAACTCTTCAAAAGAAGCGTTTGCGGAGCCTCTATTGAGTTCGGTGATGTTCAGCGAGTTTACATCGAAACTCTCTTGATCTAGCATAGCATCGTAGATGTCGCGAAACTCTAGAACGTATCGATATATACCAGCAATTACCAGTAACTAAATTATAATAGCTAGCCGGTTTTCAAATACTTTAAAGAAACATTCAACTCCCAGCTGTTAAAGAGATAGGGGCGGCAAGTCAATCGATTACGCGAGGGAAAGAAAATGTCTCTGCGCCTCTCCCCTGGGAGCCCTCTCTCGCGCGAGATCGCCGCGGGACCTGTTGAACCCCCCCCTCCCCAAGGGGGGTTCAACAGATGCCGTCCTCATCTCTTTAATGAAAAAGCAAAAAGCCAGCCACGGTTGGGGGGTCGAACCCGTGCCTCGTGCGCGGCAAGCGAACACAAAACCAATGCGCCAACAGGCCGATAGATCCAGACAGGACCGGCCCTCTTCCCCCAGGCGCTTTCTCCGCGCATAAGGAAACAGACCCTGCCTACCATATAATTATAATTTTATAAATATGGAAGGTGAATGTTTCTTTAAGCTGGAAATCTTAAAGTGAACGCTTACGGTAATTAGTTGTCAACATAAACCTTGACCGCCTCTTTAATTCACAACTTACGTCCAAAAAAGGCGGCGACCTTGTCGTAGGGAAATAATTCTGCTGACAGATATTCTCCTCGACCCCATTTCAAATAGGCATCCAACACAAATGCCTTATGCTCAGCCCAAATCTTTGCTTCTCCGGGGCTAATTGCAGTCGGACAGCGAGTAATGAAGATTTCTTTGTATTCCTATTCAATAAAGATATTTTTCTTCTTCAACCAACGAAACTTACCTTCATGATTTCGGGGATCCATCTGAAAAAAACGAGAGTTTTATGGGGATTAAAAATATCATGAAACACCCAATCAAGGACTAAATTAAGCCTAAGCCATGCCTGGGCCAAGCCTAAGTTAAGCCTGACACAAGCTTAAGCTTAAGTCAAACCTAAGCAAAGGCTAAGCCAAACCTTAAGCTAAAAACCTAAACCAAGCAAAGCCAAGCCTCAGACAATCCTAAGCTTAAGCCCTATCCCTAAACCTAAGCCAAGCCCAAGCTTAATCCTAAGCCAAACCTAAGTCAAGCATAAGCAAAGGCTAAGCCAAGCTTAAGCGAAGCCTAAGCCAAACCCAAGTCTAGACACCATGGACCTGTAGGCGATGTGGAACGGGTGTTCAGCGCCTCCAGTCAATAGTGGCAGTCCATCGAGGCCAAAAAATCGCTTGACGTCACGCACCCGGCCGCTCAGACGCTAAATATTTATCTAGATTTTATCGCAAAACTAAATTGGAAAGAAGGATTGAAATATAGGATTTTGTTTAATCGCAAGTATGCCGATGGCTTTCTTTAGGCGTTAAGGTCAACAAAATTTTGAGTATTTTGGCTTTAAAATGATGCATGGATTTAGATTAAAGTTTAAAAATTAAGTATCAAATTTAAAAGTACGTTAGACGCAATTTACCTCATAATCGGCAGCCAGGATATCTTCGAGGCGTTGGACGCGAGGCTGAGAAATCGTTCCGGCCGCAGCGGCGAGCTGTAGAAGACAGATCCCCAGCAGAAGTGAGGGTATTATCGTAGAATACCGCATCCTAAATATTTCTGCTTGATTAAAGTTATTGGAAAGAGGCGAGGCAGGAAAATGAAGTTATTGTGCTTGTTGATCGACTGGAAGTCGATCAACTGGATCAATCGAAAGTTGATAGACTCACAGGCCAGGGGGGTTGACCCAGCTCATTTATGCCGTTGGCCCCTGGCAAAGTGACGGTGTTTGCTAACATGATAGCGGAGTGATAAGATGGTTTTTGAAGATTTACGATCAACCAAAATACTTGGTGGCGTTCCTTGAGATTTATATAGATCGAAAAATGCCGGGGGCAAACCTGATAGATCAATCTCGTGAGTTAGCATTGGACATCAGTGCCGGCCGAGTTGTTGCTGAAAAAATGACGTTGAAGAAAGTTAACCTACTCATACTCTTTCGAGTCTAACCCAAAAGCCAAGAACCGCGGGAAATGGCCGGAGGTCTACCGGATGTCAGCGCGAAGCGCGTAGCTTTGCCGTTAGCAGTGAGGGATCGACAATGGCAGCCTTTCCAGCATGTATACCTAAAAGCAGCTGCGTGTCAAGCGATTTTAATACATACGATTTGCTGAAAATAATAAATAAATCCTACCATCTTAATACATAGCGTCTGTGTGTGCGTTTGCTTGCAACCGTGATGATGTTCTGCACCTACAGCCTTTGAGAAGCCTTGTTCGAGTAGGGATGACACGTCATTAGGGGTAAAACGGACCGGAATCGACCACCGCATATCAGATTTGATGAAGCATGCCATTTTCGAAATAAAAATTGGGTATTTATAAATATTTCGGCTCTTTTCCGTCTTGCACTATGTTGGGAAGCAATAAGGAAGCACTCTAAGCACAGGTTAAAGCATAATTTCATTTCTGGTGGTTGGCTTAGTTTGTCGGCAGGTCGTAATTTGTAAAAAAACCTGTTAACGAAGAAGCTAATGTTTATTTGGAGATTTTCTGAATTCCAAGACGGTGCATTTTTAAATGAGAACATTATGGTTCGGCTGCTTTGCAAGAAACTTCCAGTGTTCTTTTGCCTGTAGATACCGTAATTTTGGATGTAGACGTCACACCCGGAATCTGAAACCTAGTTTTACAAAAAAGTATGCCGCTTTAACGGATTTTTCCTCATCTCTACGGCTTACAAAGGTAATCTTACCAGCCTTTTCGTGCCTTTGCAGCTCGTCATTGACCTTTCGTGCTATACTGAGGCTTCACGTAAAGTGCAATCAATGAGGAGCCCAAAGGAACGGGCGTTCCCTCTCCGTTCGCAACATTTTCAGAGGGAAAAGAGAAGCTTTTTTGGCCTCATCCCTTCTCTTCGTCCCTCTTCACTGCGACTCTCAAATCTCCTTGATGTCTCGCTAGAACGCAAAAAACCGCAAAGTGGAACCGGCGTTTTCGATAGTCTCGCTTTCATTGTTTCCTAAATAATTTATGGTGTTGCTTGTTTTTACCGCCTACCTGAGAAACACGATTTACGATCATTTTGCATAATTTCCATTGACCAATTTTCAACACATTTTTATTGGAATTTTTGTCTAGTATAGTTTACATGCGGTGCAATTTCATTTGGCAGGGAATACAGTATGTCAAATTTGTTTGCTGTCAAATTTTGCTAAAAACTCGTTCTAAAATTACCCTTTTCACATCCTTATATCTAGCTAGTACCCTGACCATTAATGATTTTCGTGTGCTATCCAAAATTTGATTATCTATTAAATCCTCATGAAAATCACAAAAAATTAGGATTGGAAAAAGCTGCTTTTATTTCCATCTTTCCCATTGACAGTTTTGACAGTTTTGACAGGCCTTATCTGGCCGGTCTACCTACCAAAAAGATACTTTCCCAAACACATTTTTGCGTGACTTTTGAGCGTATTTTCAATCTTCTATGTTATTTGTGTTATTTCAAACATAGTCCAATTTTTCAGTTGGCTCTCTTCCTGGGTAATTTCTCCACTCTTTTTCGGCTTCTGTAGAAGTCGATATTCACAACAGAGATTCCCTAAATAATCTGAAAAACTACTTCTTAGATTGTTGGTAAGTACAATTAGCATTTTGAACCAGGGAACATAAAAAACTAGCCTTTTCAGGCCCTCACAAAGAGTTTACAATTTTTTCCTTTAGGCCATGCAACACTCTTCGAAAGATTCAAGATTCGAGAAAATGGATACTAATAACGCTACGACCACCCAATTCATTGGAAGGGCGCACTCCAAAAAAAAGATTTTTTTAAGAATGGCACAGAAGGTCAGATTTTTATTTGGCTGTTCATCTTTCAAATTAGATTTTTGTTTTTCGGTCGACTTCGAATGGCTCAAAACGGAGAAATACGATTTAAAAGTGAGATATCTTGAGGCAATCGTGCAATGTTATATTTTTACAGATCGGAAAGTAAAAATGGCAACACAAAAATCACACAATGATTTTGCAAGCCTTTTTTGGAGGCGATTAATTTGGAACATAGAGACGATTTTTTCTTCAATTAATCAATAAAAGAATCAATGAAGGACGATTTCTTAATTTAAGAATTAAAAGAAAAAACCTATGCCACATGCTGGGAAAAGCTCGAGAAAACGTTTGTTTAGTTTTATTGAAATCTAGTAACTTTTAAGGCGGTTGAAATCAAGGAAATAAGCCTGTTTAAGGGCGGCAATTTGACTTGTGCGCATACTCGAAGGTAACTATTTGATTTGGAGTTAGCCCAGCTTTATCCTCAACAGTGTTACATTTTTTTAGCTATTAAGTTGGCTCAATGGCACGAGAGGTCGTCGGTAATCAATGCTCCAAATTTGTCTCAAAATGTCCAAGGGGTAAGGTTATCCAGAATTTTTGCATCTTTCATAGTACTGAATAGCAAGCGTGAAAAGAAATTTTAGAAAGAAGATGATGAAGTTTTGCTGATCTCAAGATTCGGAATTTGTCAATCCCAGTACGCTCGAACACTGCCAGGACCGTGAGTCAAATTTTCAATTACCCTACACCCGATACGATTTTCATGGAAAACTGTCACAATCCGCAAAAACAAAATCTCGAAACTGTAGCTTTTTGCCCATCAAAACGAGAGGCCGGCGCGCCTAATCTTAATTTTCTAAATCCTGATTTTCTGGATTCTAAACGTTCTAGATTCCAACTTTCAAGCTTTTGGTGGCAAATAATGATAGAATTCTATCGTTTACCAGCGGCAAAAATTTTTGAAACTAACCAGGAGACGTTTTTTAGCGTGCACGGAGTTTCGAAATGGCGCCAAGCCCATTTTGTGCAGAATTTTTTTCGCTGATTGGGAAATAGTTTTTAGAATGAGCGAAAAGACCATAATCAGAAAGTTAAGTGGCTTTAAAGGGCGAGAAACGGTCAGAGTCGGTTATTTCTGGGAATTTGCTTTAAAACACACGCTTTAAAGCTGAGTAACTTTCGAGATCAGATCGTTTCGCCGATTTTGAGAACAACGTGTTGGTCAGCGCAAAATACTGCACAAAATAGGGGCATTTTCAAGCACCATATACACTAAAAAGTCTCCTTGTAAGCTCTTTAGTGGTGGTCATATACTCGAGTGGGATAACTCCGATCAATTGGAAATGAAAAATGGAACAAAATACCGAACAAACCCCGTAATCGGGGTTGGCCAGGACCCAATTCGGTAAATTGTCAAGTAATTACCCGGCCAGGTCGGCCAAATTTTATGAAAGCCAAATTATGATTTTATGAATCTGCATAATATCCATTTAGGGGGACATTGAGAACAATATCTTGTGAAGCAGGTGTTTGACGCGGTTGGGATCTGCTAGTCTGCAGCCATCATTGCCGAAAATTTACACGTACGGCTTAAAAATAGTTATTTTTAATCTAGAACCAGGGTTGAAAAACCGCTTCGCGGCTTTTCAACCCTGGCCCCGTCTAGGGCCTATGAAAGTCAATTCAATTTGCATGCTTCTACCGAATTCTAGGCCTCTATTCCTTTTTATAAGCCGCCTCCACTTCCGGTGCATGCTAATTGATTCCTAACAAAGAGGATGACCGAGAATTTTAGATAAACCTAATTTTAATGTCGAAAAAAAGAACTTTTCCAAAATCTGATAAGTGTGCAGCCGTTCCCAGTCCATTACGCACTGTATGACGTATCAAACACCCCCGTAGCTTCCCTCCTTCTTGAGATACGACTGGAACAACCCGACGGAAGTTGCATGCAAATGCACACACACACACACACAAACACAGGAACTATTTTTTTATATATAGTAGGATTTAGGAGGAATATTTGTGTGTTTGAACTCAGGCTTCCGATCAAATTCTTAATTAAATGTTGGCCACAGCATATTGCGCAAAATTCTTAAATAATTAGTCTTTAAGTTTATTTGAAAGCAATCTGTAGAAGATCAATCTAGAGAGAAATTTTGGGAAAATATTTTGTGAGGCATGAAATTGGTTTGAAAGCGGTTAGGACCTCATATTCTGCCGTCAGCACAGGCAAAAAATTTACACGGTAAAGCTTAAAAACCGTTGTTATTTATTTTAGAGTTTAGGATACATACTTGAATGTTTGAAATCGCGATAAAGCAAATCAGTGGCGAATTTCGGGCGAGTCCAATGAAGCCGAAAAAAGCCAATGAAAGGAAGTAACAATCGCGCTAACCGACGGCGTTCGCTACATTTCCACTGGCAGGTATAGTTAATCGGTTACGCGCCGAAAAGAAAATGTCTTTCTCTCACGACCGCCCGTGGGTTCGGTCCGGATAGTTCAAGGGAAAGGGCGTACTGTACGTGTTTTTTGCGCGTTGCGTGCGGGTGCGCGGAATAGCAACCGGTTCTTAGCTGCGCAGGCCTGCTTTCGCAATTGCGCGACGCGTCTATCGCACGCGTTGCGGTCTTCCCTCATTTCCAAAGCTACCGGACGTTTTATTAGGAGCCGGGCCGCTGTGCTCTGCCCAGGCACAACCGCCCATGGGTTCGGTCCAGATGGCTCCCGAGAAAAGCTTACTGTACGGGTTTTCGCTTGGGGCGCGAAATAGCAACAGGCTTTTAGCAGCGCAGGCCTGCTTTCGCAATTGCGCGACGCGTCTATCTCACGCGTTGCGGTCTTTCTTGGTTTCCAATTGGGTGCATCTTGGCTCTCTTCCTTATTGGCTACTTGCCAATTTGTTGACGGGGGGGATCGACACATGCCGTCGGCAGCCCTTTAAAAACGCTGTGCTTCACACTTGCCTACCGTAATTTACAGCAAAATCTATTTTAAATCTTTGAATTTGCTGCAAAATTTAAGATTGAAAGATACAGTCAGGAAAAGTAAAGCAAAGTTTTATATAGTTTTTGATGATCTCAAAATTTAGGTTTGAAAAAGTTCCTCAAAATGTGTGGAACCGTTCCCGCGCGGCACGGTGAAAGCTCGAGGGAGATGAATCAGGGTCGTGCGGTAAATCATAAAATTAATTATTTAAATTTATTTAGGAATCAAGGAAATTGAATTTTGCGAGAAACCAGGAGAAACCCGCCACTGGATACGCAAAGGCCAAAAGCGATATGCCCGGGACGCTCCTTGCTGTAAGGTTTTCATCCCCTGATTGACTTGAAATTCAAATTTAAAACATGTCTTAAAAAGTGTCAGGTAATGCGATAGGCAAGTTAAATTGGCCACTGCATATTAAAAATACTATTTTTAAAATTCAAATAAAACCTTGTTTAGGGGATGAGGAAATTGAATTTGCAAAAAAACTGCGAGAAATGCCCTGCCCTATTCTTACCAGCGTACAGACGGTGAGCTCCAACACTGCCTATGTCAAATCACTTTCAGGAATTCTAAATGCCGAAGTAAATGAAGAACCTTAAAATATGATAGATGCTCGCCGACATCTTCTAGCGGTGTTAGGAGTACCTGCCCACTTTACAGTGTAGTGTCCCGACGGTAGGATCATCAAGTGCTTAAAGGGGCTCCAGGCAAGAATTCACTTTACCCCTCCCCCCCCCCATAGCTGAAGGGTCTCAAAGTTTTCGGTATTTTCGCTTATATTGGCGGGATTTTTGCAACGCCATTCGATAGAGCGTCGAAAAATATAATAAGAATTTTAATTTGAGCGTACAATAATATAAAATAAAAAGTTTATAGCCAAAACATTCCGGCTGGGGGGGGGGGGAGTAAAGTAAGGTGTGGCCGGGCTCGGAAGTCAAATAAGTGCGGGCGGGGATTCAACCTACTGGTCGAAACGCGGAAAGGTTACTGCCGAGAAATAAAAGCTAAATGATTTAATTATGAAAAAACGCAAATATTTGAGAAAGTCCTTGGCCGAAAACGACATTTTGAGTGGGCGTCGGTTACATGTCGTAATGCTTTGTAAGGCACCCTGTCTCTCGATCGGTCATTCTCTGGTCAATTTTGCATAATTAAAAGGCCGTTTGCCAGAGACCCGAACAAGCCTTGTCACAGTTTTTTTGGACCCGGTTTTTTTGATACCATGTGAAAGAGCATAGTCGAATTAGTAGGGTAGCGCTATTTCGAGATTTTTAAAAGTTCATTTTCTAGGTTTAAATGGATGTTAAAGTTAACAACCTTGAAAAATTATATCAAAAACTACTCGGCCAAATTGTTCGAAAATTTCAGACAATACCTAATTTGGGGCGCTGATCATTTTTGTAATACATTGTAAAGCACGAAAATAGCCGGAACATAGGAATACAGCGTACACAGAGAGGTTTTTCGCAATTTTCTATTTAATGGGTATGCGTCGCCACTCTAGAAATACCCTTAAAAGATGCGCAATTGAATTCTACGTCGAATCATGTATTTTCCAGCGTGGCGACAGATACCCATTAAATCGAAAAATCGCTTTTAAAGAAGCCGAACAGAAAAAAATTGCGGATTCCGGAAAAGAAAAACAGTTTTACGTATCTAGAGACCAAAACAGAACGTTTGCAAAAAAGAGCAAAAAGGAATTCGATTTCTAAAAGGGGGCTGGGATTGAACTCGGGTCGTTTGCCTGGGACCTGGCGGCGCCCACTAGTGGCTTTCCCCGGTGCCCCCAGGCGGACCATCGCGGGTTCGATTCCCCGCCGAGCCCAATTTCGCGTAGAAAAGATATTTCTTTTTGCTCTTTTTTGCAATGTACTTGCCTTCTCCTTTCGAGTCGATTGAAATCCGCGGATTGCCAAAATACCGTATTTTTATGTTTGTGGAGCCATTTTAGTTGTTTTTAGAAATATTATTTTTTCGATTTGATGGGTATCTGTCGCCACGCTGGAAAATACATGATTCGACGTAGAATTCAATTGCGCATCTTTTAAGGGTATTTCTAGAGTGGCGACGCATACCCATTAAATAGAAAATTGCGAAAAACCTCTCTGTGTACGCTGTATTCCTATGTTCCGGCTATTTTCGTGCTTTACAATGTATTACAAAAATGATCGGCGCCCCAAATTAGGTATTGTCTGAAATTTTCGAGCAATTTGGCCGAGTAGTTTTTGAGATAATTTTTCAAGTTTGTTAACTTTAACATTCATTTAAACCTAGAAAATGAACTTTTAAAAATCTCGAAATAGCGCTACCCTACTAATTCGACTATGCTCTTTCACATGGTATCAAAAAAACCGGGTCGAAAAAACTGTGCCAAGGCATCATGGGGGCTGTTCGAGTGACCGGCGGACGGCCTTTTAAAAAGTCTAGAATGATCAGAATTCTATGAGGATTACAGAAATAGCTTTAGAATTTATAAGTTCAAGCGTTTTCACGTCTAAACAGGGGCAAAAGTTCATGCGGCGCGGTCCCGTCGCGGTCACATCCCGGACCAGTTTTCGGAGCCCCTTTAATTTGCATATTTTAGAAGTTTATACACCTAGATTTGCAGTAAATAGTATAATAATATATGGTTCCACAATCAAAATCTTCTTTTGCCCACTTCCTGCGAGTGTGCCCGGACAGTGAGACCAAAGCCTATTTATTTGATCTGAATTGAATTTTAGGTTAGAAAGAAGAAAAATCGTCGACAAATAAAAAAGAAAATGAAGAATCTGAAAATATGGTAGATGCTCGCCGACGTCTTCTCGCCGTGTTAGGACGACCGTGTCCGGCCGGTACGATCAAAAATTGCTGAATTTAATTTATTTTCAGAAGGTTAAAAAATTTAATTTGCGGAAATGTGCTTAAAAAAGCGTCGCGATCAGAATCTTCTTTTGGCCATTTGGTTCAATAGTGCCCGGACAGTGAGTCCAAGCAATTTTATTTAAAACATTTTCAATTTAGAAAGAAAATAAAGGCGCTAAAAAATTACGAGGAAATCTCACAAACTCGGCGACCTATCACCTTAATCATTGACAATGCTTGGGAGCATCGGCAAAAAACCTTCTACAAAGCATTTGCTGAGTGTGGAAACGGTGTGTAAATTGCTATCAGATTATCTAAAAACTCTCTAGAGATTTGAAGAAATAAATTTCCGGAAATTTTGAATGATTAAAATAGTTTACCGGGGCGTGGAAATCGATGTGTTGAAAATTGGTGAGCATTTTAGATAGCAAATTATATATATTCCCGCTTATGGTTTGACTGTCCGCACGGTGAGCCTGAACAGCTAGCCTTTAAAGGGGCACCGAAGTGTGAAATCAAAGCCCTTTTTGGAGCGCTCTTTAGTTCTGGCAAATTACCAGCGCCCGCTCCGCGACTGAGCACTAACTCTTTGGATTTTTGTTGGAGTTCTTTGCGAAAACACTTGAATTGGTAGATTCTGAGCTGATTTCTGAAATTCTCATGCAATTTTAAGTAGTTTTAGTGCGTTAAGCATCAAATTTGGCCCGGAAACAGCTGAGAACGGGATTTTGGAGGTGACGACGGGAGGAATTTCAAATTCAGGCGCTTTCCGCCCTCTTGGCGTGCATAGGCCTTCGACGTACAGGGCTTTTCGGGCCATAACTCAATTTTTTGCACTTCTCCTTTAAAGCATTAAACGGCTATAATTTAAAACAATTATTTCAAAATTTAGGAATATAACCTGCGTTCCCCCACGCCAAGGATAAAAATGATTGGCTGCAAATGACTGCTTAACCACGTCCTAAGTATCTGCTCAGACGGTGAGATCACGAATTCTTAGACGGAATTATTCTTCAGGAGATGACGTAGCTCAGTTTGCGGAAAGCGAGAAGGCGTGTAAAACATATATCATCAAAAAAACCTACTTTTCGACAGTTTCTGATTATTTGTGCTGGCCCGCGATATATTTGAAAATTGCCTCCAGGTTTTATCTATTGAAATAATTTTTATGTTGTAGGCGACAGGGACAAATGCTTGTGCTGCGTCAGAATCAGAAAGTACCGAACCTGCGCCAGACAAGATATTGCCCCCAATTTTTGGCCTGCGTTTTTAACCCAAATCCAGACGGTGGGTTGGTTGATGATTGTCGTATCCCAGCTGTTAAAGATTTCAAGGAAATAAAGTTATGAAGTTTTCATGCCTTGGAAACCATAAGCGGTGTCGAAATTGAAGTTGGGAAAATTAAAAATGCTGGTGACGGTAAGGCCTACGTTTTCCTACGTATGGCGTGATTACGAGTACGGTAAGTCTAAAAATACAAAAGGGTTCTTTCGCATTATCGGCGGGGAGGGGGATAGAATTTTTTGTATAACTGTAGAAAATCCCGGCAACGAAATAGTGAGTGTTTTAATACTCTTTTGAGTAATCCTTAACCATAATTCAGTTAGAAAAACAATCGGCTACACTTTACCTTACCCCCCGGCCGGAATGTTTTATAACCTTTTTATTTTACATTATTGTAGGCTCAAACTAAAACCTTTGGTATCATTTTCGACGTTTTATCGAATAAGCCGACATCCCGACAAAATAAGCGAAAATACCGAAAACTTTTAGACCCTTCGGCTGGGGGGCAAAGTAAAGACTTACCAGACGATCAAACAAAACCTAAAAGTTTTTTTAAGTTGATGAAGTCGAAAAATGGCCAATCTTACCGAAAAATCGATATTTTTGTGGTTGTTAAACAAAATTTGTAAAGTTTTTACGTAGAGAAACAATAAAAAACCGTTTACAAACTTTTCCGCTATTAATTTTTGGTAAATCGAAAACAGAAAAAGATTTGCCCCCCCCCGATAAGGCGAAAGCATCAGTAATTTTCAGCTTAAGTGTTTTCCAGGAGGCGACAAAATTCATTTTTCGGAATAGAAAAAATATGTATGATAGCCCAAATGCTGGGCCAATGTCCGGACGGTAGGTTGGAAAATTGTTTATTTTTTTGATTTTTTGTAGGTTTTATTAATTAAGATCTGCGCCGAACTGTCCTCCAAAGAAAAAGAGTGCACTACAAAGTAAAGCAGGTTGGTCTTCAAATTAAAATAAATTGCGTGTAGTTGATTTCAATCAATTAAAAGGGGTTGAATATCAACGGCGTGAGCCATATTTCGTTTCCTATTTCGTCGTAAAAAATTTTAAAGATTAACTAGGTGGTAGGGATTTTTAAAAGGCCCTGGAAATCAAAATTGGCCTGCGAGGGGATCGAATCTGCTGGTCAAAAATTTATTGCCGAAAATCGCAAAATAAACACGTTAAAAACAAAGAATATAACTCATTTTTCCTGATACTTGATAATTTCCTGGTCATTTTTTACGAGGGAAAACAGCGAGAATGCTCAAAATTACCTGCATTCTAAAATATCATCCGAATTTGCAGATTAGCGCTTTTGCTCGGCAAAACAGCGTCTAAATTTCGTGACGCGCGGCCGCGCTTCGGCAGAAACGAGCATTTTTCTCGGCACCAACACTCGTTAG